ATTTATTTTGTGTGCATGTGCCAGAACATATGTATGTGTTCCATGTGCATGCAGTGCCAGTGGAGGCCAGAGGAGGGCACCAGGCTCTGGAGAACTAGAGTCATGTGGTTACTGGGAAGGGAACTCCTGGAGCTGAGCCTGCCTTTGCCTCCAGAGTGCTGGGGTGAAGGGAGGACACCACCGCCTGTGCCCTCCTACCCTGTCTTTGTTGTTTACTTAGTTTTATTGGATTGTGTTTAGAGAATGTTTGGCCTTCATAAGGTCTTTTACCCCCTCATAGTTTTTGTTAGTTTAATTCCACATAATTTTGTTTTGTTTTTTGTATTTCGAGACAGGGTTTCTCTGTGTAGCCCTGGCTGTCCTGGACTCGCTATGTAGACCAGGCTGGCCTAGAACTCATAGTGATCCTCCTGCCTCTGCCTCTGGGATCACAGGCGTGTGCCACTGTGCCTGGCTTCACATCATTTTTTTTAAATTTATTTATTTTATTACATTGGTGTTCTGCTTTCATGTGTGTCTGTGTGAGGGTGTCAGATCTGCGACTGTAATTACAGACAATTGTGAGCGGCCATGTGGGTGCTGGGAATTGAACTCAGGTCCACTTGAAAGAACAGCCAGTGTTCTTAACCACTGAGCCATCGCTCCTGTCCCCTCACATCATTTTTTTTTTTTTTATCATGCTGATTTGGAAAAAAAAAATTAGTAGTTATGTTCAACATGAGAACTGAACTCACGTGGCAGGGCCAAGCACCTGGAGCAAACTTCCTGAGACAGGGAGAGAAGCACTCGGACAAGATCAAGCAGGCATTTCACTGCCCCAGAACAGGGCAGAAGGATGCTAAGAATCAAGGCAGGAGGCATGCCTGCCCTGGAGGCCAGGGGCCTGCCTCGTCACTGCTCTGTTGCTGTGAAGAGACACCGTATGCATCTGTGTACCTTGTATGTACCTGTGCTCAAGGAGGCCAGAAGACAACAATGGTCAGATCCCCTGGAACTGGAGTTACACATGGTTATGAGCCCATATGTGGGGTCCTGGGAATGGAACCAGGGTCCTCTGCCAGAGCAGCAAGTGTAGGCCTGGGGAAAGGGCTCAGTGGGTAAGGTTAAGAGCTTTGTCTGCTCTTCCAAAGGACCAGAATTCAATTCCCAGTACCCACAAGGCAGCTCACAACTGTCTGTAACTCCAGTTACAGACTCCCCCACAAGGGATTTGATACCCTCATACCAGTGCACATAACATAAAGTTAAAAAAAATTATTTGAAAAAAAAAGCAAGTGCTATGGTTGATTGATTGCTCCATCCCATATATATATATATATATGACCGTAAGAATCAGACACCTGTGAATAGTTGGCCAGATGGGCCTGACGACACGTCACGCTCAGAGAAAATCTGGAGCACATGAACTGCAGCCTGGGCTACCCAAGACCTTGTCTCACAAAAACAGCCAAAACCCCAAGCCAAAAAGTACTCAAGGAAACTTAAACATCTAAAGAAAATTGCAGTTAGTTTATAACAGAGTCTCCTGGCGAGATGGACAGTGGTGGCACCACCTTTTCTCCCAGCACTCAGGAGGCAGAGGCAGGAGGGTGGTCTACAGAGAAAGTTCTAGAACAGCTAGGGCTACGCAGAGAACCTCTGTCTTGGACCCCACCCCGACTCCACCTCCAAAAAATAATATATAATATATAACTTACATATATATATATATATCTCCTACCAAAAATGAAGCTTCTTTCTTTTTCTGCTTTTGCTTATTTTTTATTTTTGAGATGAGGTCACATGTAACATAGGCAACACTTGAACTCCTGGTTCTCCTGCCTCCGTCTGATCTTCCTGCCTCCACTTTCCCAAGTGCTGAAATTATAGCTGTGTTACCGCATCTGACACAAGCACTTTATTTGAGATAATCTATCCTGGAACTCACTATGTAGCCCAGACTAGCTCCAAACCCACAGCAATCCATCTGCCTCAGTCTCCCAAGTGCTAAAATTACAGGTGTGAGCTACCACACCCAACATCCCAGCTGTATTTTTGTTCTTTGGCAAAACAGGCTCTCCCTGTAACAAGCAACTGATACAGAGTGGACCTGGGCTATGGCTGTAAAGAACTGAATTTCAGGACTAGACTTGCTCCTGATTTGCATACTTAATAACGTTAGAGACAGTATCTGATTCACTCTCTGTTGTCCCAGACCTGTCACAGGGCCAGGCACCATCAGAGCTCAGTAAATGATACACTGGATGAGTACGATGGCCACCCGACACTGTGAAGGTGAATATTACCATTTGGCACACCATGGACAGTGTGTTCTAGCAACAAAATGGCTAACTGAGCTGCAGGCCTTATGTGACAGATTTGTTCCCTTGAAGCCTCCTCACAGGGCAGTGATGCCTTAATACTGTCATCCAGCTGACTTCACAAGCACTAGGTTAGGAAGGGCTGCTGATTTGATTTTATCTGTCTTTTAAGATTGATCTTTGATCACGCCCCTTTCCAGCTGGACTTCCTGCTTCTTCTTCCCTTCTCCATTACTAATGGTGCTGGATCAAGTTACCTCATTATTCCTTAATTTATTTATGAAAAGGCTGAGGTTAAAGAAAAGAAACAAACCCCGGGGATCCTTCAGGAAATTTCTGTGAAAGCTTTTCTTTCCCTTTCCCCTCCCTTCAGTCAGATACAATTTCTCACTGTTACCCTTGGCGAGCTGGAATAGCTTTTATATACAAACTTAAATCAACCTTTTCTGGGCTGGGTGGAGGCCATCTGTGTGGGCTAAGCCTGTTCTGTCCATTCCCTGCGGGTTAATCTATCAACCAGAAGTCACCTACACAGGGTAAGCGGCTTTCAGAACAGCACAGCAACAATCCTGGGCATGCTGGTTACCTTCCATAAAACACCTGAAGAAGTGTTTTTAAAATTTAAATTTTATTACTACAGTAATTATGGGTACATCAGTATCATGTGAAATGGAAACACAGAAATATGGAGCATGCCAGTGGATGGCTCACTGCATAATGCTGCCTTCTGACAAGCCTGAGGATCCAAGTTTGATTCCTGGGGCCCACACTGTATTCTGACCTCCACATGAGCACAAACCTCCAGAGACAGGGGCTTGCTCTTCCAGAGGACCCAGGTTCAATTCCCAGCACCCACATGGCAGCTTACAATTCTTTCACACCAATGCACATAAATATTGTATGTATTATATGTCTACATATAGACATATGATTTTTTTTTAAGTTTAAAGGGAAAATAGAACCAAGCAAAATAAGCTAAAAAAAATAAAAATAAAAAAATAAAAGTATCCCAGTACTCAAGAGGCAGAGGCAGGTAGATCTCTGTGAGTTTGTGGCCAGCCTGGCCAGCAAGTTCCAGGACACACAGAGAAACCATGTCTCCAAAAAAGAGAGAGAGAGAAACCCTGTCTCAAAAACAAAACAAAACAAAAAAGCCAAAACAAACAAACAAGCAAACAAAGTAGAACCAAAGGTGAAAGGTGGGCCAGGAGTGGTGGTGATGTTCTCCTTCAACCACAGCACTGAGACAGACCACCTGGTGAGTTCCAGGCCAGCCTGGTCTACATAAGGAGTTTCAGGTCATCCAAAGTTACAGTGAGGTATCAGAAAATCCCACTAGCCACTTCCCCAAAGCCCCCCCCCCAAAAAAAAAAAAAACAGTTACACAACAACAAGGTGAAAGGCTCCCTTTATGTCCTTCATCTCATCCCACCCATAAGAGACTGGGTTCAGATTTAAATTTCATGAGTCGCTAGCATCACAGGAAGAATTTTGCTTTAGGACGCATTCATTCGTTCTTTTCTCTCTTTTTCTTAAGACAGGGTTTTTCTGTGTAGTCTTGACTGTCCTAGAATTCACTCTGAAGATCAGGCTGGCTTTGAACTCACAGAATCTGCCTGCCTCTGCTTCCCAAATGCTGGGATTAAAGGCCTATGACATAACTGCCTACCTTATTTGCTTTTCCGAGAATGTATTTTCTGGCCTGGTGTTTGGCAGTCAAGTGCTTGCCTTGAACGCAGGAGACACTAGGCTCCATCAGCACCACGAAACAGAATGTTCCTTTACTATGCTCTCTAAGTGAACTTCTAACAAGCCTCACAAGGTTCTGTTTGCCATCCTAGGAGCCCGGGACACTCAGTACATTTCAGTAGCTGTATTTCTGTTTTACAGGACAGAGATGTTTTTATATTTATCTGTTCCCTTCTTACGAGTGTTCACATAATTCCCAATTTTTCAACATTAACAGCTGTCGCAAGTAACGGTTTTCTCTGGAGTTCCTCATTCAACCCATGCATTAACTGTGGCTTCTTTTTTTGTCCGTCTAACAAGCTCTGGACATTATTCTTCCAGTCAAGACCACGCGCGCACACTTCAGTGCCCGTAATCCTTTTTATTCACTTATTCTCTTCTAATGAGTGTTAACATAATTTCCAGTTTTACAACATCACAGCTGTTGCAAGTAACGGTTCTTTCTGGAGTTCCTTATTCAGTCCACGCATTGTGGCTCGTTGGGTGCCACCCTCATTTTCTCGGGGCTCCTGGTAAACAAAGGATCCCTCAAAACTGCTTTTGTCGACTCCCACCCCGAGAGGCTGAAGACCGGGTTCTCGACAACCAAGGAAGCTGAGGTCACAGAGGCATCTCTCCAGGCGAGGAAAGGGGGCCCAAAGCACGCACTTTGCTGGGCGCCGGGTCTAGGTCTCTTGCGGCGCGCACGCTCCCCAGGAAGCCGACCCGGCGAGCGCAAGTCCGGCGGGGTGGGGCCGAGCTGCGCGCGACCCTCGGCGCGCTCCGGGAGGCCGGCCCGAGCGACCGCTCTGGTCACCACGGCCGCGGGCTCTATGACACCGCTCTGGCTGGAGGACCAGGGAGGAGTCGGCGGAGGAGGCGGAGACCGCCCGGGCCCGCGAGCGTCGGCGCGGACCTCTCGCGGAGATGTGCCGCGAGAACTAGCAAGTCCCGCGCTTGCGCACTGCGGCGTTGGCCTGTGGCGCGGTCGGAGCGTATGGGAATCTAGCAAGTGGGAAGGCCAGCGCGGCCTCGAGCCCTCGCCACCATGAGCGGGACCTTAGCGAAGATCGCGGAGATCGAGGCCGAGGTAAAGGGCGCCGTTGGCGCTTCCCTCCCAGCCCTAGCATCACGTCCCGGGCGGTGCCGCTGCTTCGATGTACAATCCGCGTCGTCAGGGCCCTGTCTCCGCCGCGGTGCCACCAGCTCCCTCAGTCCCAAGTTTGCACCAGCTCAGCCCGTGACGCCTCTCCCCGGGCCTGGGCCCCTGCCTTCTAGTAGCCAATTCCGTCTCCCTCCTGCTGGCCCGTCGCGCTCTGCTCTGCATCTCACATCTCGTGTCCCGCACCCAGCCCTTGGCCGGTACTCGCTCTGGTATTCGGCGCATGTCTCGATATTATTTCTGCTTCTCTTGCTTTTCTCTGAGCCACACTGACTTCTGTTCCAGACTCCGTGACCTGATCATGTATTTTAAGGTCTTGTCTCGTTATTCCTTGCCTACTCGTCACCCTAACCCTGAGGATCCCCCTGTGCACGTCATTGATCGTGGCGGTAAAATCTGGAAGTAAATTGATTCTACCCGCATAGTGTGTGAGGCCTGTGAAGTTCAGGGCTTTTTAAAGTTAGTAAAGTAGTGACTTTGTTTTAGACCAGGTACAGTAGAAACGAACGAGCGGATGGATTTTAGTTCCATCTGTGGACTGACTTTGGTCCTGCCACTCTGGGCCTCATTTGTTTCTTCTGTGGTGAGGAAAATGAGGTGGATGGATCTATCTATCTATCGTGGGAGATCATTGCATAATTTACAGGAATCATTTGCCCTACTGTCATATGGGTTCTGGGATTGAGTTTAGGTCCCCAGGCTTGGCAGCAAGTGCACTTATTCTTTGAGCCTGTCTGATAGATCCCCCGCCCTCTTTTTTTTTTTTTTTTTTCTTTTTCTTGAGACAGGGTTTCTACATACCTCTGGAAATTCTGGAACCCACTGTGTCGATCAGGCTGGTCTTGAACTCAGAGATTCGCCTAAGCCTTCAGAGTGCTGGAATTAGCCAGGCTTGAATCGATGATAGATCCGATCTCTCTCTCCCTCTCCCTCTCCTCTTCCTTTTCTTGCTACATGTACGTGTGAAGGTGTCAGATCCCCTGGAATTGTAATTACAGGCAAGTATGAGCTGCCATGTGGGTGCTGGGAATTGAACTCAGGTCCCCTGGAAAAGCATCTGGTGCTCTTAATAGCGGAGCCACCTCTCTAGGCCCTGCTCTCAACTTTTGAGAGCATTCAGGATTTTTTTATCCTTCTGAAATGCTGCAGAGTTATGGCTGTGATTCTTCCTTTGTAGATGGCTCGGACTCAGAAGAACAAAGCTACAGCACATCACCTTGGGCTGCTTAAGGCTCGACTTGCTAAGCTTCGAAGAGAACTCATTACTCCAAAAGGTGGCGGCGGTGGTGGGCCCGGAGAAGGTTTGTGGTTCCATGTAATATGGCTGTACATATAAGATGTATGTGTAGTTTTTATTAAACTAATGTAAATATGTAGTCTATGTGTGTTGTATATTCATGTGCCTATAAATGTTTTTCCTTTCAAGACAAGGTCTTACTATATACCTCTTGACTGTCCTGGAACTCACCATATAGTCTAAGTTGGCCTTGAACTCACAGATCAACCTGCCTCTGCCTCCAGCCCTGGGATTAAAGGCATGCATCACTATGCCTGGCTTTTGTGAATGTTTTTATGTGCCTGGGAAGGCCAGGCGTTACTGCTGTATGTTTATTATGTTTATTTATTTACTTTTTTTTTTTTTTTTTTTAATTGAGGTAGGCTCTTGCTGATCCTGGAGCTCACCAATTCAGCTAGACTAGCTTATTCATCAAGCTCTGGAGATCTGCCAGATGACTTTACAGGTGTGTGTAGTTGTTGCCAGCCTTTTTTACATGGGTGCTAAGAATCCACAATCAAGACCTCATGGACTGATACTGATCCACCTCCCTAGCCTCATTATTTTTAAACATTTAATATTTATTAGCTTTTTATGTATAAAACTTTCAGCTAGACAGTGGTGGCCTTTGCTTTTAGTCCATGTATTCAAGAGGCAAAGGCAGGCAGATATTTGAATTCAAGGCTAACCTGGCCTACAGAGTGAGTTCTGGAAAAGCCAGGGCTACACAGATAAACCCTGTCTCAAAAAACAACAAAACTCATCAAAATAAATTTCCATTTTCCGAGCCTATCATCATCATTATTATTATTATTTGATGGTGCTGGGAATCAGTCCCAGGACCTCATACATGCTTGGCCAATGTTGTATTACTGTTTTCAGACCCTAAGTCCAAGATTTTCCTTATATATTATTGTTGTAGCACTGAGGCTTGACTGTAGTACGTTGTGGGTGTTAGGCGGGTCTTCTACCACTGAGTCAAGTTCTTAAGCCTGAAATAATTGAATTATATATATTTTAATTTTGTGGTTTCAGAGACAACTGAATATATATAAGTGAGCAGTTTTATTTATATCATATGCCAATCGAAAACAGATTTATTGAAATATGTAAACCTATAGCTTTAAATATAAAGTTAAATAAGGTTAAAATAAGTAAAGAAACTGATGCAAAGAGGTTAGAGTATGAAAGTAGAAATAGTAAGTTGAGGCTAAGAGAGATAAAATCAGGACTTGAAGGAATGCTGTATATCTTGCGTACTTGCTAACAAAGGCCCACAAACTTCTAGTCCCAGTGCAAGAAAGGAAGAGACAGAAGGGTTCCTTGGGCTTTTTTTTTTTTTTTTTTTTAAGATTTATTTATTATGTATACAATGTTTTGCCTGCATGTACAGATGCACACCAGAAGAGGGCACCAGGTTTCATTATAGATGGTTGGGAGCCACCATGTGGGTGCTGGAAATTGAACTCAGGACCTCTGGAAAACAAGCAGTGCTCTTAACCTCTGAGCCATCTCTCCAGCCCCCTCTTTGGGCTTTTTGTCTAACAGTGTAGCTGAAGGTGAGCTCCAGGTCTCAAAAGATAAGATGGAAATTGGTTCAGGAAAACATGTGATGTCAACCGCTGGCTTGTACATACAGGGGCGCACATGCACCCCTGTAATCACAGTATTCAGGGTACTGAAGGAGGAGGATTTTTCAAAATAACCTTATCACACTATTCCCAGGGATAAGATAAAATCCAAACCAGAGTTAAACGTGGAGCTCCACATTTGCACCCTCTCTTTTTTGTGTTTTTGATTTGATTGATACAGTGTCTTGGTTTAGTAGACTAAGCTGCTGTTGAACTCTCCAAGTGCTGTCTACCTCTGCTTCTGGAGTGCTGGAATTAAAAGTATGTACCACCAAGCCTGGTCTTACTTGTTTTGATGTCTGTAACAATATTTAAATTTATATTAAATAAACATTTAAAAATATATATACTTTTATGTCCCAGGCATGATGGCATATTCCTTTAATCCTAGCAGATATCTGTGAGACAGAGCTACATAGTAAGACCCTATTTCAAAACCCTAAAATAAGAAATTTATATAATGTATATATATATATGTGTTTACTTGTTTGTATGGGCACCAGTGCTTTCAGAGGCCAGAAGAAGGAATCAAATCCCTTGGAGCTGCACTGATACTCTGAGAACCAAGTTTGCGTCCTTTGCAAGAGCAGCAAAGACCCATCTTCAACCCCTGTGTTATTGGGGGTAGGGGTCGAGGGGTGTTTTGCCTATATGTATATCTATCTTTGTATCATATTTGTGAAGTGCCCCTGGAGGCCAGAAGAGCATATTGGATCCATCAAGTCCCCTGGGACTGGGGTTACAGATCCTTTGGAGATGCCTTGTGAGTACAGAGGGTTAAGTCTGGTTCTCTGCAAGAGCAGTCCGTGCGCTAGCCCATGTTTTAGGTATTTGAGAGAGGATCTCAGATATTCCAAGCTGACTGCCAAACTTCTGATCCTCCTGCTTTTTACCTCCCAAGTACTGTGATTACAGGCATGCCCCACCATACCTGGCTAACTGTCATTTTTTGGATGAATCATTTTGTAATCCTTGGGCCTTAAACATTGTACTAAAAACTTGTAATTTAAGTGATAAAGAATTATATTATTTTAATCAAGTACTGCATTAAGTTGAATTGTGAATTTCATGCTTGAGTTCTATTTTAGAAGTAAACCACAGAGAAACAGACCAACAAAAATATGAGAGGAATTAGGTGAGTTGTAATATGGCCAAGGATCATGCCTGTCTTTTTGATGTTTATTCCTGTTCTAGGTTTTGATGTGGCTAAGACAGGTGATGCTCGAATTGGATTTGTGGGTTTTCCATCTGTGGGGAAGTCAACTCTGCTAAGTAACCTAGCAGGAGTTTATTCTGAAGTGGCAGCCTACGAATTTACTACTTTGACCACTGTGCCTGGTGTCATCAGATATAAAGGTGCCAAGATCCAGGTAAGATTTGCAGTTAAGAAAAGGGAAGAGGGGCTGGAGAGATGGCTCAGAGGTCAAGAGAGTTGTCTGCTCTTCCAGAGGTCCTGGGTTCAATTCCCAGCAGCCACATGGTGGCTCACAGCCATCTATGATGAGATCTGGTGCCCTCTTCTGACATCCAGGCAGAACACTGTATACGTAATAAATAAATTAAAAAAAAAAAAGAAAAGGGAAGAAATCCCTTGTTTCCATTCATTTAAAAGCACTTTTTGCTAGGCCATGGTGGTGCACGCTTTTAATCCCAGCACTGAGGAGGCAGAGACAGTGGATCTCAGTGAGTTTTGAGGCCAGCCTGGTCTACAAAGTGAGTCTAGGACAACCAAGACTATACAGAGAAACCCGGTCACGAAAAACCAAAAAAAGCAGCAGCACTTTATTAGCAGCCCACTGTATGTCAGGCCTGTGTTTTTATTTAGTATGCTTCTCATATCTGTCCTCCCCCCACCCCCACCCCCCTTTTGAGACAGTGTTTCTCTGTGTAGCCTTGGCTGTTCTGGACTTGCTTGGTAGGCCAGACCTCAAAGTCAGAGAAATTTGCCTGCCTCTGCCTCCCAGAGTGATGGGGTCACGGGGGTGTGCCATTGCACCTGGCCAGCAGTTGCTGCATATAACAAAGCAATACAGTAAAGTATGGCTTATGAAAATATATGAAAAAAGGGACAACTTTTTCATCTGATGAGACAAGGTTTTATGTCCAGAGTGACTTTGGGAAGTGTGTCTTTTTTGAGAAAAAGTCAAGTAGTAAAAGTTGGCCTTGAAATCTAGGTTTGTTCTTGCCTCAGCCTGTAAAGTGCTAGAATTACAGGTGTGATACATGACAACTGAGTTATCAGTGTCTTGAAGTTAGTGTATGTCTTAGTCGGGGTTCTTGCTGCAGTGAAACACCATGACCAGAAAGAAAGTTGGGGAAGAAAGAGTTTATTTTGTTTACACTTCCACGTTGTAGCCCATCACTGAAGGCAATCAGGGCGGAAACCTGGAGGCAGGTGCTAGTGTAGAGGCCTCGGAGGTGTGCTACTTACTGGCTTGCCCCCATGGCTTCCTTAGCTTGCTTTCTTACAGAACGTAGGACCTGCCCAGGGTTATCACCACCTACAATGGGCTGGACCCCCTCCATCAATCACTAAATAAGAAAATGCCCTGCAGTTGGGTCTCATGGAGGCATTTTCTCAATTGGGATTTCCTCCTTTCAGAGAATTCCAGCTTGTGTTAAGTTGACATAAGACTAGCCAGCGCAGTATAGAAAAATTAAATAAGTGTGGTTAAGACAGCTATCACATCCCAGTGCTGTGGAGGCAGAGGCAGGCAGATCTAAGTTTGAGGCCAGCAGGTTCTTCATATTGAGTTCAAGATAGCCAGGGCTATGTAGACAGACTCTTTCTCCAAAATAAAAGATGTTTAATCAAAACAGCTGTACTGGTACATACTTACGATGATTTGATGTCAGGTGGAAATGATGGCAATGATTTCTGGAAAGGTAAGGTAGGTTTGGGCTGAATTTATAAAGGGCTTTTGTGTATCTGTTAAGGAAGCTGAGTTTTATCCATATAAGACTTGCACATTCAAGTTCTATATTTTAAGTGTCTGTGTGCAAGGTTGGTTCTCTTGTGGGTTCTGGATTGAACACAATTGGTCAGGATTACTTGACAAATGCTTTTACCTGCTGAGTTAGCTCACTGGCCCTGTATTTTAAAATTTTCCCTCTCTCTCCTTTTTTAGTTTAGTGTAAAAAATAATGGGTTTAGCTGGGCGAGGTGGCCCACACCTGAGAGCCAGAGGCAGGTGGATCTCTGTGAGTTTGAGGCCAGCCTGGTCGGTCTACAAAGCGAGTTCAGGACAGCCAAGGTTACACAGAGAAACTTTGTCTTGAGAAACCAAAATAAAATAATGGGTTTTATTTTTGCATTGTTGTATGTGCATGTCATTATACTTTTTTCTCTACCCCGCTCTCTGTCCTTCTGTCTTCCAGCTCGTTTCATTTCCCTCCTTAGTTAATCCTCATTTCTGCTTTTTTCCCCCCATATGTACTCTTTTGCCCTCTTGATTTCCACCCCTTCCTCCCCACCCACAATTTTTTTTTACCTTTCCTGTTTTTTTGTTTGTTTGTTTTTCAAGACAGTCTTTCTCTGTGTTGCCTTGGCTGTCCTGGACACTCTGTAGAGCAGGCTGGCCTGGAACTCACAGCAGTCTGCCTTTTTCTCTGCCTCCTGAGTGCTGGGATTAGAGGTGTGCACCACCACAGCTGGATCCCTTTCTGTCTTTCTAGTTTTGTGGCTCTCATAAATGATCACAAAGACAGTCAAAAATTCTAAATCTACTTTTTTTTTTTGTATATGAGAGAAAACAAAGTATTTGGTCTGACTCTAGTGTACTTCTCTTAACGTTTTTCCAGTTGCATGTATTTTCCTGCCAGTTTTCTGATTTTATTTTGTGACAGTATAAAATTCTATTTTGTATAATGAGACAGGGTTTCTCTGGGTACCTCTGACTGTCCTGACCTCACTTTGTAGACTAGGTTGGCCTCTAACTTAGGTATTTGCCTGGTTCTGTTTTGATTAAAGGTGTGTGCCACATGCCTGGTGTCACTTGTTAGGTGAGCACGAACTTTTTGTTTAACTTGAGTTTTGTTAAAACAAGTCTCATATAGCCAGGCTGGCCTCAGATTCAATTTATAGCTAATGATGACCTTGAAACTCCTGATTCGAGGAGGAGCTGTGATCATAAGCCTGTGTCACTATGTGTGGCCTTACAACACCTTCCATGACATATATAGTGCATATATTGGAAGTTAATTTGTTTTTGTTTTCTTCTATCCCTGGCTGTTCTGGAACTCACTCTGTAGGTCAGGCAGGCCTCAAACTCAGGAGGTCTGCCTCTACCTCCTGAGTGCTGAGATTAAAAATGTGTGCCATCACTCCCAACAAAGTTAACATCTGATATAATTATATAACAATTATCAGAAATATTAGTGCAGTAATAGTCATTAAGCAGTGGACTTTAATAGAATTTTCCTTTTTCACAGCAGTGTCTTTGCACCAGACACTGTGGAAGTTAATATTCGTTGAGAAACAGTCTTGTTATTTTGTCAAGAATACTGCAGAAATTATGTTGTTATCTTAGTTCTTATCATGGAACGTATGTACATATGTGCACTTATCTGTGTGTGATGGAGAGATCAGAATGTTTTCTTTTTTTAAGATTTATTTATTATTTATACAACATTCTGCCTGCACACCAGATCTTACTATAGATGGTTGTGAGCCACCATGTGGATGCTGGAAATTGAACTCAGGACCTTTGGAAGAGCAGCCAGAGCTCTTAACTTCTGAGCCATCTCTCCAGCTCCGAATGTTTTCCTCTTATGCTCTCCACTTTAATTTTTTAAAAGAGTTTTTTAAAATCATTTTTTATTAATTTTTTTTTTTTTTTTTTTTTTTTAATTTTTGAGACAGGGTTTCTCTGTGTAGCTCTGGCTGTCCTGGACTCTTTGTAAATCAGGCTGGCCTTGAACTCATAGAGATTTACCTGCTTCTGCCTCCCAAGTTCTGGAATTAAAGGTGTGTGCCGCCATATCCAGCTTCTGGGGATCTGATTTCAGTCCTCATGATTTTGTGAAGATGCTTTACTCACTGAACTTTCTCCGTAGCACTTTGTTGGGCATTTTCAATGAATACATGAATAACCTGACATTTAGTACATGCTAAGGAAAATAACATTCACATAGTCACTTGTGAGGAAGTTTGGATTTGATAAAATAGGTATGTTGGCACTTGTAATTCCAGGGCTTAGGAAGTAGAGGTAGAAGGTTCAGAAGTTCAAGGTCATTCTCAGGTACACACTGAGTTCAGGAATGTCTTGGGTTCCTTGATACTCTGGGATCTCAAGCATGTGTGTGTGTGGGGGGAGGAAGGTTGTCTCTGACTTAACAGGGCTAGATGAGTAACTATCCCAATGAGGCAAGAAGGAATTCTGGTTCATTACGACTCAGTAGCCTAATTTAAAGATTTATGTATTTTATGTACATGGATGTTTTTCTGCATGGACATCTACACATAAGAAGAGGGTGGGATTCCATGAGACTGCAGGTATAGACAATTGTGAGCTACTATGCTAGTTTTATGAATTGAACTCAGGACCTCTGGAAAAATAGGCAATGCTCATAACTGCTATTTCTCCAGCCTCTGGTTCAGACATCTAGAGTCTGATGCCAGGAAGTTTATTTTATGCACATTTAAATACAGTGCAGTTTGGAAAAACATTCCCTGGTGTAACACAGTTCCCTGTGCATAAGAGGTATAATTACATAGAAATTCTTCTTAGAAAAGTACATGTTCCCTTTTCCATGAAGGTGGATTCCAGAGATAAGATATATGTGTTATCTTAAGGGTTTAGGGAAAGATTTGGTGTGGTCTCAGTCATACAGATAGCATAGAGGTCACAGTTCTACATATGGGAGCTTGGTATGGCCTAGCCCTACAGATAGCACAAAGATCACGTAGGCTGTTAGCCACCTCCATTCCCAGCCTTTGGGGTGGAAAACAGGTTATCTAACTTTTCATTTGAAAAGACAACTCTGTTTAACGTTCCTGGTTTCCCTAGTGCTGTCTGAGTGCAAGGACCTTTGTGCTCCTACCACAAAGAAAGGTTGTATTTAGTTCTCATAAATTTTGGATACCAGAAAAAATGGTAGTATCCAAAGAGGACACTTGTCAGTGTGATTGGTCTATTCAGATTTATAATCATTTCCTTCTGTTTCCCATTCTTGCAGCTCCTGGATCTCCCAGGTATTATTGAAGGTGCCAAGGATGGGAAAGGTAGAGGCCGTCAAGTCATTGCAGGTCAGTGGTCCAGGGCTACCGTCTGGGGATATCACACATGAATAGCTTATGTTGGATAACACTGTTTCAGTTACTCATTCCCTGTAAGTTCTGGATATTGCAGATGTCATCTTCATTAACTTTTTTTCAGTGTTTCTTTGTTTAGTAGAAATCCTTAATTTTGATAGATTGTAATTTGCCTTAAACATTTTTTTAGATTTGTTTTATATGAGCTGTTTATAAGTAGTGCTTTGTCTGCATGTATATGTGCCTAGTACCTGGGGAGGGCAGAAGGGGTGGTTATATCCCCTTGAACTGGAGTTCATAAGTACCTTCTAGTTCTGGTGGTCAAACTCAGGTCCTGAGCCTTGAAGGTTCTGTTTTATAAATTCTTAAGTTGTGTGTGTGTCAGTGTTTTGTTTGTATGCATGTATAGGTCAGAAGAGTGCATTGGATCCTTTGGTTCTGGAATTATGGATGGTTTTGAGTGCTAGGAACCAAACCTTAGGTCCTTTGCTAGAACAATAAGTACTTTCAATCATTGAGTGTTCTCTCCAGCCCTGGGACTTAATATTCCTAATATTTATAATGCTTTTCGTTGTTTGACAATATGTCATATAAAAAATTAAAAGGAAAAAAAGATTTATTTTGGCTTACTGTTGCAAGAGATATCTAATATGTCAGGGAAGACCTAACAGCATCTTGCTGTTGGTTAAGAGAGAGGTGGATGGAAAGAGAAAGAGGATGAGGGAGGGAACAGTGTAAATGACCAATTAATACATGAAAAGATTCAAAATTGTCATTGCCACCATTGAGAGAAGTCATAAATACTAATTAGTAACACCACTGAAGTGTTTGGGAGTTTTTATTCACTGCTGATGGAAATACAAGCTGACATAAACACTTGGACATCTGTTTAACAGTTTCTAATCACCTACATTTGTGATATGATGAAAAAATTTTACTGATACTTATCTAGGAAAAATGAATACGTACCCACAGAAAGACTTCTACATGACTGTTTATAGCATACTTAAATTATACTTCCAAATTAAAAAAAATAATACATATGTCCCCCCATAGGGGAGTAGCAGGAAATGAATTACTGCTCAGTATAAAACAGACAAATTACTGATACTTATGTAATGTTGTTGAATGTTAAAAAGTGCTACAATAAAAGATTTCATTTTATTTCATTTATTTGGAATTCTAAAATGTTCAAACTACCTAGAGTGATAGAAAGTAGAAAAGTAGTTGGCAAGAAATAAGAGTGGTCTAAAACGGGCATGGTGGTGCATGCCTGTAATCCCATCACTCTGGGAGGCAGAGGCGGGCGGATCTCTGTGAGTTTGAGGCCAGCCTGGTCTACAAAGTGAGTCCAGGACAGCCAAGACTACACAGAGAAAGCATTTTTCAAAAAAAACAAAGCGGTGGGGAGGGAGAAGTGGTCTAAAGCTGCAACTTTCAGGGTGATAGGAATTTTCTATATATTGACTGACTTATTTTTGACAGTTTCACTTAGCCTCGTTGACTTTAATGCGTAATGGAAGCTGAGGGCTACCGGATCTTGCTGGTATTGCAAGTGTCTGTCACCATACCTATTTTAACTATATTGTCACTATCTCTGTCTTAACTGCTGTCATGATTATATCATTAAATTATCTGCTAAACAGTTACAATTTGTTTTTGTAAATTTCTATTCAATATGGTTGGTTAAATTATGTTAATTGAGGGCTGAAGAAGATGACTCAGAGCCTGGGCTGGACTTGCAGAGGATCCAGGTGTGGTTTTTCAGTGCCCACATGGCAGCTTACAGCCCTCTGTGTCTCCAGTTTCTGGGGATCCTTTGGCTTTTGGAGGTATTCAGGCAAACACTCATACACATTAAAAAAAACAAAAGCATAATGTAATTATTTTAGAGTTTGTACCTTAAAAAATGTTTCTAAACTTATTTGTAGTTTATTATTTGGTGTATGTCTTTAGTTTGATTGTCTTACTCATACATAAAAGATGGGCCACGGGCTGGAGAGATGGCTCAGAGGTTAAGAGCACTGGCTGCTCTTCCAGGGGTTCTGAGTTCAATTCCCAGCACCCACATGTTGGCTCCCAACCATCTATAATGAAATCCTGTACCCTCTTCTGGCTTGCAGGCATACATGCAGGCAGAATAATGTATAAATAATAAATCTTAAAAAAAAAAGATAGGCCAGTTTTCTGAGTTTGATGACTTATGACATATATTGCAAATTGTTAGCTAGTATAAATCTTTGGGAACCTTAATGATTTTATCTGTATATAACACAGAAACCATCGAAGTCAGGGGCTAGCTAGAAATACCTCTGTTCGAGTGTTTGAGTGAAGGCTGTGTGTATTCATCTTAGGGTGTCATTTTTACCCCCAGTGGCCCGCACTTGTAATTTGATCTTGATTGTTCTGGATGTCCTAAAACCTTTGGGACATAAGAAGATAATTGAAAATGAGTTGGAAGGCTTTGGGATTCGCTTGAACAGCAAACCCCCCAACATTGGCTTTAAGAAGAAAGACAAGGGAGGCATTAATCTCACAGCCACTGTAAGTGGGGAAGGTGACATGGGGTAGACTCTTAACTGAAGGGATTGGAGTGAAAAGTGGATTCAAGTGTGGAAAATTGATAATTTGGGAATTTTCTGGCTTTTTGCTGTCTATATTCAGTGACCTTTTAATGACTGATAAGAAAGACAAGGTTAGGACAGGAGTCATTCTCAGATTTACTTTTTCAACTTTATTTCTTCTTTTTGGTTCTCTACCTAGGGTGGTACAGACATTTGGAACAATATTACCATGAAGTAGTTGCCAATATCCTGTGCTTTCACTTATTTAACATGAATTTATAAAGCACTACTCAGAGGCCAAGTGCTTGTTTTAAGCACTGGACATGGACATGTAAAGGGGAGGAGGATGGAGAGGAAGGCACAAAGTACTCAAGAACACTCATTTTGAATAAATGAACAATTAACAAGGAAAATATAGTATATTAGATCATAAGCTTGAGATCAAGAGTAAAATAGGGAACACTAAGGAGGCTTTATTTGTTTCCCCACCTCCCAGATGTTTTATGTACTGCTGCTCCTGTTTCTGCCTCTTGAGATCTAGGGTGACAGGTGTCCCATTGTGCCTGGTTTCTGAGGATTGAATTCAGGGCTTTGTGCATCCTAGCTAAGTATTCTACCAATTTAACTACTGCCCCTTTCTTTGCAGCTCCTTGCTCCTTGCTGGGGCATTCCTTAAGAGAAATATTCACTGAGGTGATATGAGGGTGTCAACCATGTGAATATTTTGGGGAAGAGTGTTCGATGGAGGGGAAGTGCCAAATGCAAGTTCCTGAGGTAGAGCTATGAAAAATAGAGTAAACAAGACCTTGAATAATAGGTAGAAGTGAACTCAGCATAGGTTCGGTCATTTCTTATATTCTGACCCATGGAATAATCTTGATTGACTTAAGTATTTTTAAAAAGACTTCATATTTATGTGTATGAGTGTTTTGCCTGCATATATGTATATCACGTGTAGTGCCTGAGGAGACCAAAAGCTGGATTAAATCCCCTGGAGTTACAGACAGTTGTGAGCTGCCATGTGTGCGTTGGGAGCAAGAGCTCTTAACTGGTGAGCCATCTCTCCAGCCCCGAGTTCTATTTTGTAGTGTTTTGAGACAAGATCTTTATTTATATACCAATCTGGCCGCCAATTTGGTATGTTTCCAAGGCTGCCCTTGAATTCCTAATCCTCTTTCCACATCTTAAGTGTCAGAGTCAGAGGCATATGATATCACACCTGATTTTTGGACTTACGTTCTAATGGAATCCTAATAAGTTTTTGTGTTGAATTGGTTTAAGAGCTACAATGAAGGAACCATGTAAGAGGTTATTACAAGATTCTGTGAAGAATTGGTGATTTGTCATGTAGTGGCGTATTCCTACAATTTCAGCAGTTTGAAAGTGGAGGCAGAAGCCAGGCACGGCGTTGCATACCTATAATCCCAGCGCTCAGGGAAGCAGAGGCACAAAGTTAATGGGACGATCAGGATCGTGCATTTGAGATTCTAATAGATATCTCAGTGCTTCTCAGGAATACCTTCGAGGAATGTTCTAGACTGGAGATTTAAGTTTGGTGATAGCTTTAAAACCAGCAGTCCAGATGATATCACTAAGGACAGAAATATAAGAAGAAAATTTAAGACACAGTAGGAGAAGGAAAACTGAAGAAAAAAACTGGAGACTGTTAGAGACCAAATTAAAAAAATGTTGCAGATAGAAAGGGAGTAGTTTTATCAAATAGTGCAGTTTTTTTTTTAACTTAATTTTATTTTTATCAGTATGAAGGTGTCAAATCTCTTGAAACTGGAGTTACAGACAGTTGTGAGCTGCCATGTGGGTGCTGGGAGTTGAACTCGGGTCGTTTGGAAGAGCAGACAGTGCTCTTAACCACTGAGGCATTTCTCCAGCCCCAAATATTGCAGTTTTGGTCAGTGAATTAAGGTCTGAGATTTTTCTGAGAGTTCAGATTAACATAGGTGTAAATGTACTTTCCCAAAAGATCTCCCCTTTGGTTTTGTCATAATATTTAATATTTATGTCTTTGAATTAGTGTAGCTCTTGTTGGTAGCTCTATTAAGTGGCTTGTTTTACCAAGGTGGTTGTTAGGTTGATATTGAAATTAGGACTCTGCCCTAATGACCTATTTTAATTATCTCATTAAAGAGGATGTCATGAATTACTGTCACATTCTGAGATAATGATTATAGGACTTGAATGTATAAATTAAGGAGAATGGGCTAGGATACAGGGCACAAGTTAGAGCATTACACACCTGCTTATCAGGTGAAAACATTTTTTTAGTTATATTTTACTGTAAATTAGTTTTTGTCATCCAGGGCAATGTACTGAGTTTAAATTTTAGCTATAACTTTGCAGGTTCAGGGCTGGGGCTATAGCTCAGTAGGTAGGCATGCACAAAGCCCTGGGTTGACTTTATAGTACCATATTAACAGAGCATGGTATTGCGAGCCTCTGATCCAGGCACTTGGGAGTTATAACTAGGAGGATCAGGATCGTTCTTGCCTACTTGGTGAGTTTGAAATCAGCCTGAAAAAGAAAGGCATGTGGAGGCTGGGCATGGTGGTGCATACCTTTAGTTCCAGCACCCAGGCAGAGGCAGGTTGATCTCTATAAGTTACAGGCCAGCCAGAGCTATATCCTAAGACCCTGTCTCCTCAGAAAGGAAGGTTCTCCCTGATGTGTCTTTGTTTACTCTGTCTACTCAGTGCCCTCAGAGTGAACTGGATGCTGAGACGGTGAAGAGCATTCTGGCTGAATACAAAATCCATAATGCCGATGTGACTTTGCGTAGTGATGCCACAGCTGATGACCTCATTGATGTGGTAGAAGGAAACAGGTACTTAGTGTGTCTTTTTGGCTGCGTTTGAAGCTTGTGAGGGAAACAGACTCCCTCCAGGTCATGGATCTGGAAGATGTGGGTCAAGCCAACCCCAGCTGTGCTCTTATGCTGCTGCCTTACAGTGGGGCCTTGGTTCTGCTGTCACCTGTGGGCTGGTCGTCATTTCTAACTTCTCTTGCTCTGCAGTTTGGTTAATAATTGTGACATTCCCTTTTTCAGTTATTTGCCGTGATCTATGCTGCCTCTTACGCTCTGTCAAGTGGTGGTTGAAGAGGGGTTCAATCTGCTCTCCATTTGAGTAGTCATATAGATGATTCTGCAGAAGTCAGAAAGCACCAAGATTTGTCTCTTCCGTACATCCTAACTGTATATGCCTGGAACCTTGCTTTATGAAACAAACATTATTACTGTTCGTTAGCTCTTGAATGATTTAAACAATTTTGTTGAAATTATTCCTAACGTTTACACAGAATCTTAGTTGTTTTTTTGTGTTTTTTTGAAGAATTTGACTTTAACTGAAAACAAATAACTGCCTATGAGTTGGGCATTTTACAAGTGAAATGACTAAAGTCTAAGAAGTTGCAACTTGTCTAATTAATAGTAATCTTAGCTGTGATAGTGATTAGACACGAGGAGTATAAGTTTGCTAATGATATACTTTAAAAAGGTTTAAAGGCACACACCTTTAATACAAGCAGGCACATCTCTTGGGTTTTGAGGACACTGTGATCTACAGAATGAGTTCCAGGACAGCCAGGCAACACAGAGAAACCCTATCTCAAAAAAACGAAAAATGTGAAAAGTCTAGTATTTAAAAATTATCATGAGCTGGAACTATAACTCAGTGCTACCCTACCGTGCACAAGGCACAGCTTGATACTCAGCACTGACTGGAAAGAAAGAAAGGATGGCGTTAGAAATTGTACATATATCTTTTGGATGGAGGGATGGAGACAGAAACTCACTATCTGTCCTGGAACTCAACTATGTAGATCAGGCTTACCCTGAACTTCTGGTGATCCACATTCCTCCATTCCTCTGCCTTCCAGGGCTAGGATTGCAGGCATGTGTCATGCTTGTTTTTGAGAGCCTCTGATTTAGGACTTAAGTGAAGAAGTGCTGGGAGTATTCACTCTGTTTTGTCAGCAATCCAAGTTAAGAACATCTCTTCTCCTTCCCTAGAGTTTATATCCCGTGTATCTATGTATTAAATAAGATTGATCAGATCTCCATTGAGGAATTGGATATCATCTATAAGGTGCCTCACTGTGTACCCATTTCTGCTCATCACCGATGGAATTTTGACGACCTGTTAGAGAAGATCTGGGACTATCTGAAACTAGTGAGAATGTGAGTTTTAATGATGACTTCTGGGGATCATAAACCAAATGTCTCTCTTCTGCAGATAGAAGTAAAGTGCTTCCTGTAAACTGCTGGTCATATGGAGGGCTCTGTTCTCAGAGTGGAGATCATCCTGGCCTGATCTCAGAGGTGATAGGGGTTGATCTGCGTTCTGCACACGCACACTTTTAAGAAGGCAGCAACCCTTGTGTTTTGTCTTTGTTCTAGTTACACCAAACCCAAAGGCCAGTTACCAGATTACACCTCTCCGGTGGTGCTGCCCTATTCAAGGACCACGGTGGAAGATTTTTGCATGAAGATTCACAAAAACCTTATCAAAGAATTTAAATAGTAAGCATCGTGGCCATGTGGTGCCTCCTTTCCCTTTGAGTTTCTGACTCCCTAACAGTAGTAGTTCTTAGAGGAAGATTAAACAGACCAGGTTAACAGCGAGGCTTCTGATGCCATTTCTTCATCTCCGTCTCTCTGTTTTTGTGATTAGACAGGGCCCCTCGATGTAGCCTTGGCTGGCCTGGAACTAGTTTTGTAGACCAGGCTGGTTTGGGTTTTTTTGTTGTCTTTTTTTTTGTTTTCCTAGACAGAGTTTCTCTCTGTAGCCTTGGCTATCCTGCACTTGCTTTGTAGACCAGGCTGGCCTCAAACTCACAGAGATCTGCCTGCCTTTGTCTCACAGAGTACAGGCGCACCACTTTGCCCGGCTTCTCAGTGTCTTCTTACAGCCATGCCTGCCTAATTGGAGCGAGAATGGTTCCAGTAGCCTCTTCAGTTCAGAACTGTTGGAACATAGGTTCTTGCCTTGCCCTCATTAATTGACCTTCCCTTTGGCAGATAACAGTTTTAGGGACTGGGGAGATGGCTCAGTGGATAACAGTGCTTGCATTGAAAGCAAGAAGATCTGAGTTCAAATCCCTGGCTTTGATGTAAATACTGTGCATGGCCTAAATGCCTGTAAGCCCAGCATTGTGAGTTAGAGATAGGTGGATGCTGCAGACTTGCTGACCAGCTAGCCTTGGAGAAGTTGTAAGTGCACTTAACTTCTCGGGCACCTCTCCAGGCACTGCTTTCTTTTTCCTTTTTGAGAAAGGGTTTCACTATACCAGCCTTGGCTGTCCTGGAACTCAAAGAGATCCACCTGCCTCTGCCTCCTGAGAGCTGGGAATAAAGATGTATGCCACTCTTGGGTCAGCCTTTTTTTTTTTTTTTCATTTTGATTGTATATGGAATGAGAGCAATCCTGTGACTTCTAAAAGCATTTGTCATCGTGTGTCAAAATCCAGTGTGCTACAATGCTTCAGAAGTGGCTCTGTCCTGGTTTGTTTGGAAGAGGGCTTTTATCTGTTGTCTGTTGAGAACCAGATGCTAAATCTGTAAGTCTGGCACCTCAGCAGCTAGAGCGGAAGCTGCTTGTTACTGCTATTGACTGTCTTTATCCCTTTCCATACAGTGCTTTGGTCTGGGGTCTCTCTGTGAAACACAATCCTCAGAAAGTGGGGAAAGACCATACGCTGGAAGATGAGGACGTCATTCAGATTGTGAAGAAGTGAAACCTTGTTCCCACCTGCTGACCAGGCACACCAGTTCCTTATGACCAAGTACTCTCCTCAACCCCTTCTGTCTTTGGCAGCCACTGGATTGGGAATCAGGGATGGATATGAAGACTTCCAAACTGGAACATTACTGGTCTTTTTTTTCCCCCCTCTTTGAGATAGGGTCTAATGTATTTCAGGCTGGCCTTGAACTCTTTGTATCTGAGGCTTGCCTAGAATTCCGTATTCAATAGCACCCATCTCCCACGTGCTGGCTTACCACTGTCCACCTGTAACACCTCAGCAATATCACCTTTACTACGTTGGTGTCACTTCTATTGAACTGTATAAAAAAACCCAGGTGGGCCCATTAGCCTTGTGTCATTCATTGTCAGATTTGCTGTGGGATGAGCTGAATGAGGAAACACCTGTTTGCACAGGGAGGCAGCTGCAGAGTATGACATAAAGAATGTGACATGTAATATCCTTTGTGATGCGTGGTAATGAGAGGCTCTTTGACTTGGGATTGGTTTTCTGCCTCTTAAATGGTCTTTTCTCAGGACGATGAAGAGGAAGGCTAAGATAAGGCTCAGTGCTTATTTCCTCCAGTGCTGGTCTGTATTGGAAGACTATCATGTATAGATAGCAGTTGAGTGGACTGCTGTGTAACAATGGGACAATTGCTGGTATTAAGAGGTAGGTTTCCGAAGTTGCTTAGCACAGTGTCAGTCATATAAAGTACCCAGTTCATGTATTTTGGTTCATGTCCCTCAGCCCTTTTTTCCTTTTCTTGGTTTTTTTGAGACAGGGTTTCTCTGTGTAGTTTGGCTGTCCTCGAACTCACTCTATAGACCAGGCTGGCCTCCAACTCTGATCCACCTGCCTCTGCCTCCTGAGTGCCGGGATTAAAGGCGTGCCCCACCATTTTCCAGCTGGAAGATTATTTTAATGTATTGTGCAGGGATGATAGAGGATAACAAGGATAGGTTTGTAAGAGAACAAAATTTGCTTCTGTCTTCAAAGGAGATGAGCCTTTAGCAGTCTATGAGGAAAGGTGGGCTTACCCACACTTTCCTCAGGGCTTGCCCTGTTGCCTTAGAGTTAGCTCTTTTTTTTTTTTTTTTTCCTGAGCTTAGCATGGTTGCTGGATTCAGGTAGGCCTTTTTTGCCTGAGGTAGTTGCTTTTCAGAATACAGACTGGTGTGTCACAGGGACATTGTCTGATAGGCTATATGATTGAAAGCCTATCCCAACACTACAAGGAAGAATTAGCTTTCAGAGCTGTGGAATTTCCAGCTAGGTCTGCTCTCCAATGAGAGCCTGTTGAGAATTTTAGAATCCTCAGGCCAAGCAAGGAAGATTGATTTTGTTTAAATATTTAACACTTCAAGATTCTGAAGAGAGAAGGTAATCTAAATCCTGTGCAAGAAGCCCTCAATGTTTTTTGAAGAGGCCTTGAGTCCATCGTTCAGTACCTTTCTCCCCACAACACCCTCACCTGTCCCCTGCCCAGTTTCTAGCCCTACAGGATTTGAGAAGCTTTATTTCAGCCTGGTGTGGCCTTCCAGTATTTGGAAAGGTAAAGGCAAGAGTGTTCGAGGAGTTCAGGATCATGCTTGATGGTGTGGTTAGTTCAAGTTTGACTTTGACTTCATAACAAAATACATTTACCTTTTCTTTTATTTGGGACTTATATGGTTCTGAAGGGAAGATATAGTTTGTGTCAGGAACACTGGCTGGAAATGTGCGGCCAGTTGTTGGGATCCAGGTCAGGTATTTCCAAGTTTTTGGCTTCTTATCCAAAAAATTGAAACTAAGTCCTCACAGGGATTTGCATTTAGAAGCAAGTAAGTTTATTTGGAGTAAAACAATAGTGTAGATTATGGGGGGTAGCTACACTGTCAAAGGTTGACTTCAGGCCGAGTGGGAGTACTCAAGGATGTAGTGCTATACAGCCCAGGCTCTCAAGCTGTCTAAAGAAAGGGGCTGGTTACCAATGCAGAGTTTGGGGTTCTCTATTTTTAAAATCTTTTAAAAGTTGTTTTATTTTTATATATTTAGAGACAAGGTGTGTGTTGTCTTGGTGTCCTGGAACTACCCTTGTAGACTAGGCTAGTCTTTTGTTGTTGTTGTTGTTGTTAAAAGATTTGTTATTTATATAGTATTCTGCCTGCATGTTCTTCTGCAGGCCAGAAGAGGGCACCAGATCTCATTATAGATGGTTGTGAGACATGTGGTTGCTGGGAATTGAACTCGGGACCTTTGGAAGAGCATCCAGTGTTCTGAGCCATCTCTCTACTCCCCAAACCAGCTAGTCTTGAACTCACTGAGGTGATTCCTCCTACTTCTGCTTCCGAGTGCTAATTAAAGAAAGGCACATGCCATGATGCCTGTCTTGGTGTTTTCTATTTTATTTATAGGTTATATATTCATTTTTCCTATTGCATGTCACTTCCCGAGTTACATCTAGATTGTCATCTATACACCCAGTCATGAGTAGGCATAAGGTGTTATGTTAGATTCCCCTCCAAGTGATTTAGACGACAGTTTACGTTACTGCATATGCACCTAGAACCAGGTAAGGCCAGATCAGTCCTAGTCATACCTATAATAATGGGAATACTCTTTTTTTTTTTTAAAGATGTATTTGTTTATTATCTATACATTGTTCTGCCTGCACCTGTGCTTACGCATTAGAAGAGGGCACCAGATCTCATTACGGATGGTTGGGAGCCCCCATGTGGCTGCTGGGAATTGAATTCAGGACCTGTGGAAGACCAGCCAGTGCTCTTAACCTCTGAGCCATCTCTCCAGCCCCATGGGAATACTCGTTAATAGTGACTTTCTAGGTCTGTTATTATGGGCAAATCCATATTACTGTTCAGAGATGGGAATATGTGTAGCCTGATGGAGGTGAAGGTTTGAAAGGGGTTCAAGGGGTAACTAGGTGTGGCGTTTGAAGTGTTTTATGTGCATAGTTAATTATGAGAAGATAGCGTAACGCAGTCCAAAAATAGAGCCAGGTTAAATAAACTCTTAAGTTTCCCTGCCTCTGGAGGGGTAAATTCTTTATTTTTTTTTGGCTTTGAGACAAGGTTTCAGCCATGTGGTCATGGCGCACGCCTTTAATCCCAGCGCTTGGGAGGCAAAAGCAGCAGTGATTCCGATGCCAGCGTGGTCTGCGGATCGGATACTAGGATACCCAGGGCTGCACGCAGAAGAAACCGTTTTCTAAAAACAAACAAGGAGACAAGGTCCCAGCTATGTAACTCTTCCGGCTGGCCTTTAAGGGATGCTCCTGTCCCTCCTCCCAACTGTTGGGAAAAAGCATACTCCACTTCACCCATCGAGGTGCGTTCTTACAACCCTTCTCCTGTTGTCTAAGGAAGTCTGGTGGTTTGAGTCTTATGGCATGGCTTAAATTTCCTGTTTTGTTTTCTTGGCTTCTATTCTGCACCATTTATTAGTTAGGATGCTAAAGCTTATTGAAGAGAGAAGTATTAGATTCATCATTGAAATGGCATTTTCATAGATTCTTACCTATTCTATTTACTACAGCTTGTTAGCTTTTTGGGGTAGCTAACTCCTTTTGAAAATCAAAAAATGTCTGCAAGAACCTTGAGCTGAGTAATATCCAGAGTATAGTAATTTCTTGTTGTTTTTGACAGTGTCGTACTATGTAGCTCTAAGAAACTATCAAATCATTTTTCTCATTAGGTTGCTGAGAAAGGCAATAGAGCTGAAGAACTTTTTATTCCTGTAAATTATCTTTATGTCTCATTCCATAACGCTTGTAAGAGTGGCAAGACCCAGCCCCTATGTATACTCTTCCCACTTTGATTCATGTCTTCCAAAGGATTCGTTGTTCCTCAACTTCCTTTGGGAAGCACTGTTATTTCTCTTATCTCACATGCCCTCTTTCATGTTGGTTTTTATTTTTCATTTATGTATATATGGGTGTTTTGCCTTTGTGTGCCTGGAACTGGAGTGACAGATGTGAGCCATCATATGGGTTCTTGAGACGAAGCCTGGGTCTTCTAGAAGAGCAGGCAGTGCTACTGTAGTTCCATCTCTCCTGGCCTGATGTAGGTTTGTGTGCTTATTTCGTATTTAAGCTTCTCTTAAGCCTTGGTTTTTCTCATCTTTCCAGCCCCAAGTACTCATCTGATGCATACTAGATGACAACAAACTTGTTCCAAAGACCCCTTTCCCCGAGTGTGGCTGGAACCTCCGGCTGGCTGGCCTGGAGCTCCAGGTGATCCTCCTGCGTTAACTTGATGAAGTAACTGGAGTACACTCGTGAGGCACCGCACCTGGCTTAAGACCTCTGTTTTTGCCCTAAGCATTTCTTCCTGTTTGTTTTTCTGTAAGGCCCTAGCCCCTGGAACACTGTCTTTATGTATTGAAGTTTCAGGTAGGCAAAACTGACCATTAACTCTTATAGCTTCTTCCACCTTTCTTCAGTCTGTCTAGCTTCTGCTTAGGCTTAATGCCCTTGCTTCCTTTCTGCTTCATCTTGCCAGTTAGTCTGTGGCTTCATTTGTCTTAATCTGTTCTACCAGCTTCAACCTGACGCGTCCTCTGTTGCCTCAGCCGGACACGTGGGGAAAGTGCACTAGTGTTCCTCCATTGACAGTTGCAATTGCTTTTCCAGATTCTTTTGTGTCAATCTACACAGCAGGTTTCTGAGGCTGAGGAGTCTCTAAGAGCCTGAGCATATCTAATAAGCTTGGAAGCACGAGATTGCACTCATCTTAATTCACAGCCAGGCATTGTTGAAGAGTGATCCCTTGTCTCCCAGTGCAGAGCAGAGTGGGCATTTGAAAGATTATACTATTGTCAAGACTTGGGAGGGAGCCACAGACTATGTTTATCCTTATAGTAAAAATCTGACAGAGTACTATGAAAGAAAGAGAATGGTTTAATTTTAATCTCTACAGTGGAGTTAAAATAGCATATATGGCCCCATGTCCATAATTACCTAGTAATTGGGTAAATTAACGTGAAAATAAGTGTAAGAAAAGGATTGGAAAACCTTTAGTTAAGATACCCTTGTATTTGCTACAATCTATACTTTATGTTCAGGAAAAACTCCAGAACTTCTAAGCTAAAATCAAATATCTTGTTTCTGTGTTAGAAACTGAGATTCATGGGGGAAATAAACACAGTACCAGTTACTTTGTTCACACACGTGGCATATGCAACTTTAATAAACCAAAAGAAAAAGTCCCAAATATACAAGTGAAAAAAAAAAAAATCCAAACAGTTGACACAGGCCTAACTAATAGCTACTTTATGTACAGCTGTATGTATAAGTTCAAAAAAGCTATCCTATATGTATGTACAAAAGTCTATACACAGGTCTGTACATAATAAGGGTCTATACATTTTATTTTCTTAGAACCCTTAGGTGTCACCTCTAGACACCAACACTTCATTCACATATTTTATAAAAGAAAGACTTTACAGGACTGACAATACTGTGCCCCCCCGTACGTGGACCATGTAGGCTCCATTTGATAATTTAGTAGCCTTCTGTCATAATGTAGGTATGTGGGTCCCCTAAACATCTTCACACAGTGTGCTCCAATCTAAAAGCCCATAAACAAAGATGGGGAATGAGTCATGACCAGGGTGCCACCACAGGTCCAGACATGGGTGAGCCTGCCCACCCTGCTCACTGTCTGTATTCCAGTTCATCTACACTGATGACTTTGGTAGGCATGGAGGGCAGAGGCTGCTGTAGCACATCTGAGCCAAACCATTTGGCAAGGCCCACAGGGGAGCTGCTCCTTTGGCTGGTGCGATGCTCTAGCTGGGAGTGCATGTGGGGCAGGCCTGACCTGCTGGGCACGTTCTGAGGAGTCTGAACGCTGAGAGCTGCTGCCTGGGAACCAGAGCCTGGAGGATGCAGAACTAGAGAGAGAAAAGAGTCAGTGAACCAAAGTTGTTCTATACTAGGCCTTGCTTCATCCACACCCCACCCACAGAACTCCATGAGTCTACCAAGAAAGCGCTTAGATAATCCAATCCCTGCTGTCACTATTGGTAGTATTTTCTGACTTACTTTGCTTGAATAGTTTGTTACTTTTAGGGGTGGAAAGTCTACCAGAGGATTTAACCCAGGCCTTCCCAAACAAGTGCAGAATGCTAGACAGGAAAGCTAAAGGTACCTGGAGCCATCAGTTAGTTACCTAAACACACCAAGGCTGACAGGAAAGATCTCCAGAGGATTTAACCCAGGCCTTCCCAAACAAGTGCAGAATGCTAGACAGGAAAGCTAAAGGTACCTGGAGCCATCAGTTAGTTACCTAAACACACCAAGGCTGATCAGGAAAGATCTCCAGCCTTTCAGGAGGTGAAAGACAAAGCCAGAGCAGGCCCGGCTCCCACTGTCCTTGTAGTAATAATAACTCCAGAGACCTTAAAGGTCAGCTTACTTCACTTGCTTTTCTAGTGACACCTGTCCTTTGAAGGACAAGCTAAGGAATGGGGTCAATGAAAATATTGCTACTGAAAATGTCTCAAACTTCTGGTGTGGTCCGTTAGCCCATCCTATCCTCAAACCTCACCTGAACGCTGTAGCTGCTGCTGCATCACTGCCAGATGCAGAGGGGTCCCAGGACGAGGGCTTAGGAGAGGGTGACTAGCAGCAGAGAAAGGGTACAAGGGTTGACCCAGCAGTGGGCCAGATAGTCCCTGTAAAGGAGCCATGTCCATCCCAGGAGGAAGCACACCTGATGGGGGAGATGAAGAAACTTCTGAGAAGTTGGGTCAGTATACACAGACATTTCAAAATTTGCCAAACATTGTTGTTGATTTAGAAACTTACAAGAATAAAAATGTGGGTGTAGTGGTGCCCCTCCCCCCCTTAAAAAAAAAGGGGTTTTAATCCCTGGCTGTCCTCAAACTCACATCCACCTGCCTTCTGACTGCTGGCATTAAAAAGCCTGTGCCAGCACTGACTGGCAGGTTTCCTAATCATTTCATGGGCTAAAGGGGTGAGACTGCTTTGGACCTACTGCCCAGTATTTAGGTAGAAGAATCTAGTATGTTCTTTTTGGAATACCTGCCATAATGTAACACTTTTATTAGTGGCAGCAATTTTTATACTAGGACCAATGCCCATACCCAATCAGAAACTCACCAGCTTGGAGCAAACTTGGAAGATGCTGTGGATGTACTCCTTGGGCTATCAACCTTTGGACTAACCCAGGGTGAAGCTGGTGAGCAGGCCGAACAATAGGAACATGAGGGACGAGGGGAACTTGGTGGGTAGGTCGGAGAAAAGGTGTTCCTGGAACCGGGGATGCCAAGGTGGGCGTTTTCCTTCCAGCTGCTTTAGGTCGATAATCTTGTTCTTTGGTATAACGGTTGGTCTGGGACAGTGGGGTAGGGCACGAAGACCGCTGTAATGTCGAAAGTTTAGGATTTGTCGTAGGAGAAGAGTCTTGATCAGTATTGGGTATGGGATTGGATGATAGCAGGTTCTCTGTAAGGATTCAATCACAGAATATTTTGGTATTGACATCCTTTTCCAACTTACTTCAGTTCCCATCAACCCAGCAAAACTTAGTTTTTAAAAAGCTGGCAGTTCTTGTACACCTGCAACTCTAGAAGCCCAGGAGAGCTGACTTATGGTCACAGGGCAGGAAGGCCTTGAGCTGGGACTGGATGCCAAAATTGTTTTAATCATGGATTAGATGGATACGGATAGGTGTTTTGCCTACACGTATGTCTGTGCACCATGTGACTTCAATGCTCACAGCGGGCCAGAAGATGATGCTGGATACCCTAGGGCTGAAATCACAGATGGTTGAGAGCTTCCATGTAGGTGCTGGGAATTGAACCCAAGATCTGTAGAAGAGGAACCCGTGTTCTGACCCATCTTTCCAGCTTGTAGAAGCTAAGTTTTAAGGACTTGAAATTTTTTTTTGCTGGAATAATGGACATCTGATATTGTTTTCCTTTCTTGAGGGGAGCAACTCTACCACTGAGTTCCATTCCCAGTGCATGAAGGATTTTTGACACAGCCCAAAAAACCTTGACATACTATTTCAAAGCAAAAAGCACAAGTTGTCAGGTGTATGGATGATGATCCGAGGATTTGGAAGGCAGAGACCAGTAGATGTCTGTGAGCTTGAGGTTAGCCAGGGATACACAGTGAGATCCTGTCTCAAATAAAGCAAAACCAAACAAACAAAATCCATAACAAGTTTAGCCCTAGTGCTTGGGACAAAAGGCAAGGAGTGGATCCAGTATACAGCCAGTTTGGGCCACACAGCTCCGGAGACCTTGTCCCTCAAAACAAAACAGCTTGGATTAGAGAACAGATCAGCAGTTAAAGCACTGATGTTCTTGAAGAGACCTGCTCCCAGAACCCACATGGTGGCTCCCACCGACTTGTGGCTCCAGTTGTAGGGCCCTGATGTCCTCTGGCTTCCTTGGGCACTGGATGCACATGGTGCAGACATATCACAGGCAGTGCACAAAAATGTTACAAAGAGCTGAACTGTATTAAACCAAATGCTGCTGTTGTTCAGCTTGGAAGACTAGTAAGAATCATAAACTAAAACACCTTTATCCAGCTGGCCACAATGTTAAGTGAACAAGTTGACTGTGAGCTCACCAACATCTCCCTGACACTGCAGTCATGCATGCCTATGCTCTGACACAGGGCAGGCCGTACCTTCGCTGGCCTTCTGCGTATCCTCTTTACCATCACCAGGAACCACTGTTCCTGGTGCTATTTCCTCCTTGCTTTTCTCTCTGCTTTCATACATCTTCCGGATCACTGAGGTAGGGGTGAAGGAAGGGGAAAGCTGCAGAGAAGAAGAGGCAGACTCAGCATATTCAAGTGCCTTTCCCTAATACTAAGCCAGTGCTTTTTTTTTTTTTTTTTTGTTTTTTGTTTTTTTTTTGTTTTTGATACAGGGGATTAAACCTAGGGTCTTAAACATGCTTGGGAGCCCGTGACTACTGGGCTATGAAGCACCTGCCCTTGGTGTTCAACAAGGTGAAGAGACCCCATTTCACCTACACTGGCAGAGGCAGTTCTAATGTTCTGGTCTATATAGCTACTGGAAGAAAATACAAAGGAGCAAGTAGTCGTTGTCCTAAGAGCTTCAGTCCTTGTTCACAACCCTGTAAAAATGTATCTGTTTCTGTTCTGTTTATCCAAGCCTGAGATGGGGCTAGAAAGAGGACGGGTATGGCTGGAACTATGCCTTGGTAAACAGGGAAGGGATATTTCAGAGCCAACCTCAATCTATGCTACCCCTTGTTCTTAGTATTTTTATTTTTAAAATTACATACAAGAAAAATACAAGGTATCTTAAGGTTTCGCCATCTACTAGGACTTACCATTCATTGAGGGTCTTCTTTCCTGTTGGTTTATTTCCTAATGACTTTATTATGCATGTGCCCAAAAATTTCAAGGCAGGAGACAGGCCTAACTCATGAATAAAACTACTTCCAGAGTTTCTCTACAGCAAGCGCCTTTGAGTGCAGAGACCCATATGGAGTCCTGAAGCACAGGACAGTTGTTTTCTCCCCTTGCCTGCCAACTTTGGGTAATGAAGGTCTATGAGCTAGACCTATCACCACAGATAAACCCATTACAGAGGGAGAGCAATGTGTGGACTTGCCGGCATGTTCACTGGCCCCTGTAATATGAAGAGTCACTCCTCTCTCATCTCCTGCTGTACCTTATTCCTTCTACTTCCCCATACCAGCTATTTTGGTTTGTTTTTTAAGACAGGGTCTCATTAGGCCCTAACATAGGCCCAGGTTGGCCTTAAACTCAGAAATACATTTGCCTCTGCCTCCCAAATGCTGGGATTAAAGGCATGTGCCACCAGTCCAGGCCCAGCTGTTTAAGCACTGAAGGCTTCTTGTGTCCTGGTGCAAGTACATCTATCTGCTAGAATATACTTTCCTCAACGTAGAAAATGTTCTTTACTAGAATACTGGGTTAGGGGAAGACCTAATAGACAAGATGTACAAAATCAGTACTCCTATGGAAGGCATTCAGAGACATGGGACACGCTGGTACAACACAGAGAGCAAGATGGAGAAATGTTAAAAGTCAGGCAGTTACTAAAGGTCACTGACCATGCTTGTGATGGAGGCAGCCGGAGCTGGGGAAGAGGAATTTCCTCGGTGCATGGGTGCTGGTGACTTTGTCACTCGCTGTTGCCTGTCAACAAATCAATTAACAGCGTCAGCTCCAAGCTACTTGAATGCCAAGTTCTAAAACCATGTAACTCAAGACCAGTCCAAGAACTTACTATACTGTCACTTACCCAAACATTCTCAAACATTCAAAATATGAAAAACTATATGCTAAATTCTGAGGGAAGGAAAAAAGCTCTTTGTAGTAGGAACAGTCAATAACCTGAGGCAAACCAGGGGATATCAGTGAAGACACAAATAAGTTATAGTGGGAAAATAAAGCAGAAGGTAATAAGGATCAGAACTCCAGAGACCCCGAAGAAGTTACTTGGAGGAAGAAGCAGCATTAAGCTAGGTGAGAGCAGTGTGAAGCTAAAGAGAAGCTGGAGTGGTGGCGCACTCCTTTAATGGCAGCACTTGGGAGGCAGGTGGATCTTTGTGAGTTTGAGGCCAGCCTGGTCTACAGAGAGTTCTAAGACAGTCAAGGTTACACAGAGAAACCCTGTCCCAGAGGTAAGAGGGGGTTAGAAGAAGCGTTCAGGCAGAGAGCACAGGGAATCAAGAGTATGAAGGGTCATCTACACTGGTACATAGTTTAATTCTGGACTACAATTAGTAGGGTAGCTAGAAGCCTTCATTGGGGGTTGGTATACTCCAGAGGGTAGGGGGTAGCAGTAATTAACAGTGCCTGCAATGCAACTGATGCTCTGTATCCGAGATAGTATTTCAAATCAAACCGTCAACTGGGAGCATCAGATATTTTATAACCCAGTTAAATTCATCACACCTGATCTATGCCTATGATCAAGAGACCTGTCAAAGTCAATGTAGACCAGACTGACTTTGAAATCAGACACCCTCCTGCCTCTGCCCCCCAAGTGCTGGGATTTCTATCCCTAGCTATTCTATTTATTCTCCTTTAGCCTGGGGAAAGACAGAAAACAGGGCTGACATGAAAATTTGGTAGACAAAAAAGCTTACGTGTGCTCACTGGCTAGTGAGTACCTCATTGTGCTTACAGGCAATGACTATAATCCTCTGAATCAGGTAAGTATGGGATCCTAAATCTGTAAGCTTTCCAATGGAGTTAAAAACAACTCCATGCTACCCTAAGAGGAAGTCTCAGCACATGTGCAATGTATTCTAAGTGTACATGGGAAAGATCCCCAAACCTGGAGGGTTCAGATTCACATAATTTATCACTCACTCCTTATTGTAAACACTGTTAGGCAACACTGTCAGTACTAAAGACACAACAGGAACAGAACAAATGAAGTCTCTAGGAAGTTATACTCTTATGCTGTAGGCCAAAAAACAAACATAATCAAAAAATCCAGCATGCACAAGGTATCGTACAATTTAAGAAAAGAATGAAGCAAACAAAAGAACCAAGCTATGCTGGAGAGATGACTCAGCAGTTAAAATGCTTTTCAAGAGGGTTCAACTCCCACTACCCACTACCTTAGCTCCAGTTCCAGTTAGCCTTCTGACCTCTTTGGGATTCTGTACACACACTATGGCACAATAAACTCACAAAGACACATGCAGTCTCATGTGGAAAGTGCATACATACACAGTAAATAAAATAAATCTTAAAAAAGCTCTCATCCATTAGCTCTACCAGCAAACTGTTGTAACAATCCTACATTAAGAGAATCTGAAAGTTAGAATCCCAGCATACAAGAGGGAAAGGCTACACAGTTCAAGGCCAGTGATACTGAGGCCATGAATCAAAAGCCCAAGGGCTGAGCTCAACATAATGGCACACACAATGCCATCACTCCAGAAACAGACACAGGAAGATTGATGGGAATTCCAGTTTAGCCAAGTAGGTGTGAGTGTATAACAGAGTGCATGTCCAAGGCCCTGAGTTCAATCCCCAGTACTGTTAAAAATCAAAACAGAACAAAAAACCGATAGAAATACTGATAGTATTTTTAAATAGTTAAATTTAAAAGATATATTTACTTGTAATAAATTGTAAGGTCCAATTCTGAGATATTGGACTTTCTGACTATTTAGTTAACTGAAACCCAAAAATCATTTAAAAAATAAGAATACAAAACAGCCAGGCGGTCGAAGGTGGTGCACACCTTTAGTCCCAGCACTTAGGAGAGAAGAGGCAGGGCCAATCTCTGAGTTCAAGGTCAGCCTGGTCTATAGAGTACGTTTCAGGACAGCAAAGGCTACATAGAAAAACCTTGTCTCGAAAGACCAAAAATATAAGACAAACAGAAAAACTATACAAAATTATAAAACAAAATTAAGGTACTAATTATTTTTAAAGGTTAGACAGTGGTCACTTCTGAGGGAGACAAAATGATAATACTGGCTAAGGGCACATGGCATGATCCTAGACAACTCAACTGTACTTCTACTGAGAGCATCTGCAGTGGGATGGAATTTGTACCTTACACTTGGATTAGCATATGCAACAGGTTATTTTTATGATATATGATTTACCAATCTCATGAAGACTGTATTTACAAATCAGCACCCGAACCTGCCTAAGTAGGATTATTTACCTGCTTCTGAGTCCATCTCTGGTTCTGTCCACTTGTGGTTTGCTAAAACCAGGCTGGTAGAAAGGTGCTGTCTGTACTGCAAGGTCATGCGGTAGGGCCAGCCCCTCCAAGGCAGCCTGCTGCAGTTCTAGCTGGCTCATCTGCTCAGCAGAGAAAGCAGGGAAAGACAGTCAAGGACAAGCCAGTTCAATGCATTGCCACAAAGGTCTGCCTCATGGTTTAAACAGTAGTAAGAAAACTGACTACTATAAATAACTAAGTAAGTTATGCTGCTGTCTACGGAATGATATTTTAAAAATTTATATATTATAAATATATAAGATATATTTATATATAATACAAATTATATTTATATTTAATAATTTTAAGATTTTATATATAGCTCAGTGGTTAAGAGCATTATTACTACTGCAGAATATCCGGGTTCAATTCCCAGACCCACATGGCAGTTCACAACCATCCATAACTCTAGGTCCAGGGGATCCGATGCCTTTTTGAAAATTCCTTGGGCAATGAGGTACACAAGTGGTATACAAACATATATGGAAGTAAAACATTCATACACATAGAATAAGTAAATCCTAAAGTTTTTTTTTTTTTAATGTAAACAGTACTCATCACTTAGCAATTTTCTCCTCTGTATGAACTTCAACTATAGTCACTGCAGAACAAACCACGTATTTCATTGTCATATAATTCCTCTACTCCATAACCAAGAGCAAGGGTGAAGGGGAAAAGAGACTGGGTCTGACCTGGGCTGTGACAGGGCTCATGGGCTTGCGCATGCCTTGGAATGGATCTCCAAGTAGCTGCTGGGGTCCTGATGGGAAACCTGCAGGAAATTTCAGAATCAATGATCATCAAGCATTAGAGCCCAGGACAGCACCCCACCAGCATGTTGGCCCTTGGTTAACAGGAAGTGTTGCTGCTTTGGCCTGATAAGACGCCCCTTTGCCCCTCTGTTCCCACAACATGTATGTGGATCTTAACCAGAGCTCTTAATGGCCTCACTATTGCTGTAACCTTCCACTAAGCTGTCTCCTTTGTCCTTTTTCAGCTCTCTAGCCAACAACATTTCTATTCAGCAAACTGTCCATGCGTGTCAAGCCAGCTGAAGCTTAAGCTCAGACTCTTTCCACACAACTTTATACAACTATGGACAAATATTAAGGCATATGACTGGCAAAGGGAATGAGCCAGCAGCCTCCAGTGGTTCGGTGGTAGAAACATTAAGGCAGCCGCAGCTGCTTCTTCCAGGCACGTTCTCAAACAACTACAGGCTTTCACAGCTCACCATTTATCAATTTCAGTGGCATGCCAAAAAAAAAAATCATTACTCTGTGACTGGCTGGCCTGTGTAGCCTCAAACTCATTATTTAGCCCAGGGTGGCTTTAAAACTTAAGATTCTCCTGACTCATCTCAAATGCAGACACTACAGAGTGTACCGTCATTACTCCTGGCTTTCCTAAAGTTCTTTATTGAGGAGAGACCTAAGGATCCAAATTAATTATTTTCAGCTGAATTCTCTGTAAAGAGCTATATAAAGAAGTTTACTATGAACATGTTGACTTCACTCTCTACAGAAATCATATAACACATTTATATATTTCCTTTAAAATTCTTTAAGCATACCCTTCAAAAAGACTGCAAGTCTAGGGAACAAGTATAACCTACCTGGACACAAGTGGAAGATAGATATGCTTAAGAGCAGTTACTGAGTTGGGAACCTACATCAATGTCAGGCATGAGGCTCTGGGTTCAACCCCAGCACTGAAAGCACTAGTTACCAATTGGTGATGGTATCCTTGGATGAAGGTAATCTGCTGAGGCTGCGCGAGTCTGAAACACCTGTGTCATAGGAGGAGAGGGCGCTCTTTGGCTCAATAAAGATGCGGTAGGCTCCAAGCTTCCCATAAGGCCACTGAGAAGATTGGAAGAAGCAGGTCTCTGAACTGGCTGACCCAGAAGTTCCTGTAGGCAGAAATGTCAGATCATTGTAACAAACCTACTTTTTCCTTCTAGTCAAAAAAGTTTGGAAATATGAGTTCCCTTTTGGACGCTAGCCACTGACTCTCTCATGCAATATTGAGGATCTGGAATCTGTACACACAAGGCATTTTACCATATGTTTAGCTACCAATTTGCTTTACATCAGTCCTGTAAATACAGATTAGGCACTCAAGTTCCACAGAAAATACAAACATCTGGAAACATTCAAAGCCATCATGTCCAGCCCACTGGTATTAGAATAGCATTCCCAGCAATAGTTTATCTCTGATTGCTGCAACACATCGGTCACTTTGAGGCACCAGTGTAAGACTTAACATACCTGTAGAATGTTTTTAGGGACAGGCTGGCCTGGAATCTCAGCAGGGGCCAACAAGTGACTTTCAAGGTTTCGCTAAAAAGAGAAATAAAGGAAGAAAACTGGTTGCAACTTCAACACAATGTATATACTGGAGACCACAAAAATACAGCAAATACTACCAAAGAGTCGACAATTAAACAGCAGAAAGTTATTCAAGTCACAGAAAAGAGTAAATTTAAAATTAGAGACATACAGCTGGGCACAGTGGTGCACTCTTGAAAAAAACCTAATAATAAATAAAAGAAAACAAACCACCACTAACAAACATGACAGACTAGGCATGATGGTAGTGCTAGCTACTCTTTCTGGTGGCTGAGGCAGAAGGATCAAAGTTTGAGGCAAGCTTGGGTGGCACAAAACATGGCTAGGAAGGTAGACAAGAGGCACAATAATTGTCTAGAATGTAGGAGGTCCTGGACTTGTTCCTAAGAGTCACAAAAATAAGGAACAACAAATAAATTTGGTCAGAATTGTTACTGTTTCAAAGTTTCAATTGGGCATGGTAGCACATGCCCTTAAATCCCAGGTGGAACTGAGTTCAAGGATAGCCTGGAATACATGGTGAATTCCAGGATAGCCAAGGCAACATAGAGAAACCCTGTCTCAAAACAAATCCCCCCAAACCCCAGAAACTTTTCTTAAAAAAATATTTATTATCTTTATGTATATGAGCGCTTTATCGACATGTGCGCCTGGCCACCAGAAAAGGGCATCAGATCACATTATAGATGGTTGTGAGCCATCATGTGGTTGCTGGGAATTGAACTCAGGACCACTGACAGAGCAGACAGTGCTCTTAACCTCTGAGCCATCTCTCCAGTCCAACCCCAGAAACTTAATGTTACTATTTTAAGTTTAGGCTCATATGCAGGATAAAATTCAGTCTCCCCTCTGCTCTGAATCTGGCAATGGTTTTGCTGTGTATATCTAACCTGAACTCCTACTGCCTGCCCAGATACTGTGCGGCCACTGAACTCAGCAGTTCCTTATATAATTCCCCTTCCATTAGATGGCTCTGTGAAAGTCCATAGAAGGTTCCAAGCCTTTTATTGTTGGTTTCAGAATTGAGGCTACATGCAGATGATTCTAATAAATAGGCGACTTCATACATGGCTTAGCATATTGTAGGAGAGCCTGTAATCCCGTGTATGCAGTGTGGGATACCCTTCAGTACTTACTCAGATGAGAACTAGTGTCCTGCAGCAGTGACTGAAGACACTGACTTGGGTCAGCAGTAGACCAGGATCTCACACATAAAACAAGCGACATGGATGCATTCTGCGTTTGTATAAATATTTATCTAGCTACTTTTATACCATCCTTCTTATCAGCATGTGTCTGAGGCTCAGTCCCTCACCATACCCTAAACTAGATATACATAAAACTCCAAAATTAAACCAACTGCACTCAAAACTCAGGGTCAATATTGTGCAATAAAATAAAAAGGTTAAGATATGAAATACTGAATTTACTTCTCTCTCTCCCCTTCTTTTTCTTTCAAGACAGAGTCTATCTAGGTAACCCAGGTAAGCCTCCCCTCCTGCTTCCTCCTCCCAACAGCTCCTACCTTCTTTGCCCCCACTTCTTTGGAGGCTCACATGAAAGGAAAAACAACCCTATGACGAACTGAATGAAAAAAACGAGTCAGTGCCAACACCCCAAGGTAACAGAAAGGAAACCTGAATTACATGGCAGCCCTGGTTTTTATGACCCAGGTCTTGCTGTATAGCTCATACTAGCATAAATTTACCAGGCAGCTCAGGTTGGCCTTCAATTTATAATCCTGCCTTAATCCCCTAATGCTAGGATGTGTACCATAATGCCTAGAAACATATGCCAATCATTTGATAGTGCGGAAATCTAATACCTCTTTGGATGAAAACTTGTAAACTCTGAAGTAGTTTACAAGATCATTCCCCTTTGAGTTGTATAGTATAACCTGAGATGTCCTTCAAAAGGGCAGGAGGAAAGGCACCCCTGTTTGACCTTAACTTGGCCAGATAGGAAAAGCTGAAAAATCACTCCCCTGGTACAAAAACAATTAGGGCTGGAGCAATGGATCAGCAGAAAAGTACCTGTTATCTGACAAATCAAATTCAATTCCACGACTCAGTGTGCAAAGAAAAAACCCACTCTCTCAAGTTGTCCTCTGACGTCTACACAAGTTATGGCACACATATGCCCACAAAAATATACACATGCATGCAGAATGTTTTAAAAGTGTATTAAAAAAAAAAAAAGAAGACAGTGAATCAAACATTTATTGCTGTTGACACTTTAGTTACTTGTATTTCCTAGAGTCAGGTACAGTGGTGTACCCTTGTAATCCTAGCACTCTGGGAGGCAGAGGCAGGCGGATCAACAGTGAGTTCGAGGCCAGCCTGGTCTACAAAGCCCAGGACAGCCAAGGCTACACAGAGAAACCCTGTCTCAAAAACAAAACAAAACAAATCTGAGGAGGAAAAATCCAGTTTGACAGATCTGATATACACAGCAGCTGAGTGTAGGCTTCATTTTCAGATCTGTCTTCTTCCTCATCAAAAATATCACCAAGGAATAGTGTAATATGAAAACCATGGCTGAAACCACTCTCTGAACACTGTTATGATAGAAATCAGTACATTGTAATAAACCTGCATTAAGGGGCTACAGTGATGGCTCAGCCATTAAAGGTAGGCTCACAACCAAAAATATAAACCTGCATAAACTAGCTTTATGCACAGAAATTAAAAAAACAAAACAAAACAAAACGTGGGAAAGAATCAGCTAGGCAGTGGTGGTGCACCCCTTTAATCACAGAATTCAGGAGGCAGAGGCAAACTCTTGTGAGTTGAGGACAGCCTGGTCTACAGAGTGAGTTCCAGGACAGCCAGGGAAGGCTACACAAAGAAACCCTGTCTTGAAAAACAGCAGCAGCAACAACAAAATAGTCACAGCTTTTTACTATTATTAATTTAAGAGGGTTTAACTGCCTTATAATCACTTCTTTGATATATACTTGAAAAAAAAAAAAAAAAAAAAAAAGGAGATGGGGTCTTTCTAGTCCAGGCTATCCTTTGAATGTGTAATTATCCTGCCCACACTTTCCAGCCTGCACCACATAGTCAGCTCGATCTTTCGTATTTTAAAATATCTGTTTGACTATCAAGAAAAAAGGTAATCCAAGTATCTGAGAGTGGTGAGTACAAAATGTGAAAATTAAGACATTACTATAAGAGGGGGAGAGGTGGCTCAGTGACTAAGCACGCTGGCTGCTCTTCCAGAGGACCTGGGTTCAGTTCCTAGCACCCACTTGGTTACTCATAGCCATCTGAAACTCCAGTTTCGGGGGGAGGGGGGGAATCTGACACCTCTCTGACCTCTGTGTGCACCAAACATGCACAGACAAAAATAAAATAGTACAAATAAAATTAGAGAAATCTTAAAAACATTTTACTATAAAATTCTTTTGTATGGCATGGCCAGGAGGTGGTGGTGCATGCATTTTGTCCCAGTACTCAGGAGGCAGAGGCAGGCAGACCTCTGTGAGTTTAAGGCCAGGCTGGTCCACAGAGTGAGTGCCAGAGAGACTGTCTTGAAAAACAAAAAAGCCAAACAACTGGGTCTCAGGTTGCCCTGGCTGGTCCCACGCTCCCGATCCTCTCGGATACCAGGGTTACAGGCACACAACACTATATTCAGTTCAGCTCAAGGAATACTTTCTTCTTTTCTACTTTTTGCAATGGTGACCCCACATATTAGGTATGTGTTTCTTACACCTGGGCTGTAGGCACAACTCAATTATTTTCCTTTCTTAGGAAAGGAATTCATCACCTGATTGTCCTAAACATACACATTATCAACAGATATGATTTTTCTAGCAACAAACAGCACATCCATAATTAACAAACACACACCAAAGACCAAACAACTTCTAAAGAAATTTCCAGTCTACTCAGAAGACCTTCATAAACCCATTTATTATCGCAGTGGGAGATGACAGAAACAGGGCAAAGAGGCTTGTTGAGGTTGTACTGAATACTTACACTGACTTTGGGCTGAGTAGGCAAAGTCCCGCTTGCCTTCATGGTGCTCACTAGCTTGTTGAATGCAGTCATATCTCCATCTTTCTTGAGTTGTCGATTGCTAGTTACAGCACTCAGTGTCTCCTCTAAATGTTCTGCCATGAAGGGAGTTGAAGTCTTCATTTGCTGGTCCACTTTCAAGCCCTTGAGCCCTGCTTCTACTTCTTCCACTGAAAGTACCACCCCTGAATGTGCTGAGAAGTTGAGAAAGTTCTTGTTACATTACACAAAGGCGTATTTAGTAGGAATTCTCACTGGCTGTCATGACAACTATTTCCTAACTGAAGTGAGGCTGTCAAAGGCTGACACTGAAAAGAGACAGACCGAACTCCTAAAATCAGTTTCTTCGTAGGACTAGGCTGTAAGCATATACATAGAAGAGAGGGCTGGCCATGGTGGTGCGCCTGTAATCCCAGCACTCGGCAGGCAGAGGCACAGAGCTAAGTGAGTTTCAGGACAGCCAGGACTAAAGAGACCTTGTCTAAAAAAAAAAAGGGGGGGGGGGGGGGGGGGGGGGGAGTGGCACATGCCTGGAGAGGACCCAAGTTCAATTCCCAGCACCCACACCAGACAGCTTACAACTGTCTGCAACTCCAGTTTCAGAGAACCTGTATGTCTCAGCCCACACACATACATAAAAAGACAGATATTCACATAAATAATAAAGTAAAATAATCCAAAAATATTTAGATGCTGGGGAACAGGGATAGCAGTTCATACCTATGGGGTATGAGTTTTCAAAACTTGGTAAGGTAACTACGTGGTGAGCTCTAGGACAAGAACTACAGAGACACTGTCTCAAAATTTGACCAGATTCTATGTGTCACGCAGAAAGATACCTTGTAACAAAGCTACCAGACATTGCTACCAGAGACAAGAACCCAGACAGCTCAATGGCAACAAGACTGCACCGTAGACTGACAGAACTGATGTTAAGGACTTGCTGCCTACACGACAACATGGCAAATGGAGGCACAGTTGTGAGATCAGGCAAGCTATGCTTGAGAGGACAGAAACATTCACTGGCCTGTTATAACTGGGACCTGAGGGAAAAACTGGAGGTCATTTGTACACTTTGGAGGCAGAGGCCAGAAGTTCTGAGTTATAGGTCAACCTGGCTTTATGGCAAGTTCTAGACCAGCTAGAGCTTAAAAGATTCAAGGCTATGTATGTGGCATCATGCCTGGATCCTTTTGAAAAACATTTCCCAAATCCTGCCATGTATCTGACGTGATGAGAAGCAGGACACTGGAACCATTTTTTTAAGAACATGTAAACTTAAAAGAGCTAAAGTAGATTCTTAACACTTACAGCTCTCCTTAAGTTTTTCTTTATTTGCAGAAAGGCTAGAAAGAAGAGGTTTTAAGTCCACTTTGGCTTTCTGTAGCATTTCTAAAATGTCCACTTTATTTTCAGCATGGTCTTCTGATGGTATAGGAGCAAAATAATTCCCCGAGTTCTGTCCAGGAGAGAGGACGGCTTGCTCCAGACCTGATTTTGTAAATAAACATATTCACAGTTGGTTCCATTGAGTAGTAAAAACTTCCCTTTCAAAGCATAAAAAGAACAGAAACTGAAGGCTTTTCAGTACCCAAAGCCTCTTTAATCTTACCAGATCACTAATTAATGGAGACAAAATGAAACATGGCAGGGTAGGCTCAACTGACATACAAGGATAGAATGTGAAGCTATTTTACCTGCGAGTCTCTCAAGTTCTTCATGGGGAGTGGATCCGAGGCTGCTGGATCTGCTCCCTGACCGGCTTGGGTTAGAGAACCACCTACTGAAGCGGCTGGCAGAGACTGACCCTTCTCCCAGAACATCTTCTATCATCTGATAAGAAAGACAGAGGGACTAAGGTAACAGTCTATAGGAAAGGACATGAGGTTAAACATTAAGCTGCCGACTCTGAAACTACCTTTGACAACGCTGACCCTTCTGGATCTTTTCGAGCAACTCAAATTTGGGCCTAAAACAGCACAGAGCTCTTAAGCACACAGAGCAAAACCTCCATGTTACAGGGTGCTGCAGTTCTCTACCATCTGCCGCATTAGAAAAGCCAACTTCTCAGGAGATTCAGTTTCAACACCACAACTCAACAGCACAGTGAAACAGTCTGACACTGCTGATGGCTTGAGTCAGACATTGCTTAAGATGGAACGACTGAAGGAAACCCCTGCTTCCAACCTGGTAGTCTCAGGATTAAAAGAAATATGCAGTTCAATCCTGACAACCTTGAGATGCCAAAAGATAGAAATTAGAGCTAAGAAATGATCATTATTTTAGCCAAGGGTGGTGTCACACATGTAATCCTAGTACCTGGGAAGTTGATGAGGGCAGCGAGGGTCACACACTGAGAACCTATCTCAAAAAACAAACATCAAAAGGAAAAATATACAGAAGGATAACAACTCCAGTCAAAGTGTCAAAGTGTAGCAAGCGGAGATAAAAGCACCATAAACAGTACATGTCAGCGGAACAAGTAAGTGCAGGCAAAATACAACCAATTTACTGTAAACAGGAATTATATATATTAAATATAAATACATACATATATCCCAAAACAGAAAGGAAAACAAAAACAGCCCAAAAGGTATAGTTACTGTTTCAAATGTTTAAAAATGTAAAATTTTAGGGCTGGTGACATGGTTTTAGCAAGTAAAAAGGCACCTATGATACAAGCTTGATGACCTGAAGGTGGAAGGAGACAATTCCATAAGGCTGTCCTCTGACCTCCACATACACACTGTGAGTGTGAATGCACCCACTCATATAAAAACCAAAACATTTTAAAGGTAAATTCTCCTTCCCCTCTTTTTTTTTTTTTTTGAGACAGGGTTTCTTTGTGTGTAGCCCTGGCTGTCCCAGAACTCACTCTGTAGACCAGCCTGGCCTTAAATTCAGAGACTCACCTGCCTCTGCCTCTCAAGTAGAGATTAAAGGTGTATGAAATTACACATGGCAAGTTTGGTCTTTTTAACACAGGGGGAAGCGGGGAGTCTGACAGCAAGACCTCCTTCCTACACACGAAATGAACACCATGATGACTACTAAATCAGGACATCCTTTGCTATGTCCTTCTTTGCTATCACCTGATGGAAGAGCTAGAAGTTGTGATATTTCAACTATCCTTAGTAGTTTTTTAACTGATTTAAACATATATATTTTTATATGTCTCCATATATATTTGGGAAGTGGTGATACATGCCTTTAATCTTAGCATTTATGAAGCAAAGGTAGGTGAATCTCTGAGTTCCAGGCCATCTACGGCTACACAGAGTGACCCTGTCTCAAAACAAAACAAATGATACCCTGCCCTGAAGGGGGGAAAAAAAGAGAGAGAGGGAAAAACACTAGGTCAAATTTAACCATAGTAATATGTTCCATCCTTTTTAAATTAAACTAAAAGATTATCTGAGATGGGTCTCACTATACAGTCAGGCTGGTCTTGAAATGACTATGCAGCTCCAGCTAATAACCTCAGACTCAAACTCCTTTTGTCTCAGCATCCCAAGTGCTAAGATTATAGGTGTGTACCTCCACTCCCAGATTCTATATATTTAAAAAAATTCTGTGTGTGTGTGTGTGTGTGTGTGCGCGCGCGCGCGCTATGTATATATGATGTTCTTGTGTATGGTGCACACACGTTTGGGTGTGTATGCCTGTGTGCAAGTGGTAGTCCAGAGGTTGATGACAGACATCTTCCTCCATTCCTCTCTGCTTTATAAACTGAGCCAGGGTCTCTCACTTGAACCCGTAGCTCACCAACACTGCTAGTTCAGTTAGCCAGCTTGCTCCAAGAACCCTGTCTCTACTTTCTGAGATTATAGGAGGGCCACCACACTGCCAACATTTATCTGAGTTCTAGACATCTAAATTCATTCAGCCCTCACACTTACACTTCAAGGGTTTTATCTACTAAGCCAGCTCTCTAACCCCTCCATCCACATTTGCCAATGAGCAGTTACACTCACCGAAGCCAAGCACGGCACCTTGTCCAGGTTAAAGAACTCGTTGAAGTCAAATTCTCCTGGGGACTGCTCGGGTAGGACAATATCCCTTGGAACTTCCTGATCAGCAGAGGGTTCTTGGGCCAGGATGACTTCCACCTCATCCTCCTCAGCCACCCCTCCATTGCACTCCACTATGCCTGAAAACAAAACCAGGACAGAAATAACCTGTTCAAGTACACACTCCAGTCTTACTCTGTGCCTGTGGCCCTCAATATACATGCACAAGAGCCACACATGACTGTAAACAGATTTCCTGGGTAGGTACTGCACTTCCTATAATAAAGCATTTAGCGTCCCTTCTCAGGGAAATTAAATAGTCGTTGCCAAGTACCCAGAACATTAACAGAGGAGGGAAAGGACTGTGGCCCCATTCCTAAATATGTCAAGTTTTCGATGCTATATTGAGCTTTCTTTCCTTAAGAGAGAGAAAGAGAGAAAGAGAGAGAGAGAGAGAGAGAGCGCGCCAGGGCTAGTACACACAGAAACTCTCTTGAAAAACGGGAAAAAAATTTTAATTACGTATTTATTTATTTGTGTACACACACATACACACGCATCTGGAAAGGCCAGTGGAGGTTGTTGGCTCCATCTTAGAAACTTAGCTACATATACATGTGTTTTTTAGCAGCTTGATGTGGGACTAGGAACTGAACTTGGGCTTCTGTTTATTTGTGCATCTGGCTTAACTGTACATGAACAATTTTCACTTGTCTACAAGTGGCTGTGGTCCACTACATGTAAAATTTCACTGTCACCCCTTCCAGGAAGCCCACTCTGTTTTAATAAAAACAAACAACCCCCCTCCCCTTACAGTGATTGCTGCTGTTGTTAGAATTCTGGTATTTATTACAATCCTCTAGGGAGACAGATCATTACAGGCAGATCACCTGCTCCAATCAGATGGCCTTATTCTACAAGGCCAGGCATATCTGAAATTCAATAATGTCCACTTCTTCTAGTATGGGAAGACAGACTAAGCAAAATACTTGTGGGTAATATTTTAGATTTAGAAAAATATGAGCTAAAGAGGAAAAAAGAAAAAGCCCACTTATTTGCAAGTTCTTAAAACACAGACACATACATAACCCCCCCCCCAAAAAAAAAAAAAAAACAGGGCTGGAGAGATGGCTCAGTGACTAAAACCACCATACTGCTCATCCAGGGGAACTTGAGTTCAGAATCTAGCACCCACATCAGGCATAATAAATGCCTTGTTGATATGGCACTTCTGGCCTCTTAGGGTAACAGCACATATGTATACATATACATACAAGTAAAAAGGCTGAAAAGCCCTAACCAATACAAACCCCTGGGTTCAATTCCTCTGCTCTGCATAAATCTGAGCCTGGTGGCACATGCCTCTAATTCTAGAACTCAGGTGACAGAGGCAGGAAACCAGAAGATCAAAGCCATCCTTGAGAGCATATCCAAGTCAGATTGTACATCAAAAACAAACAAGCCAACAAAAACAGCAAACCCCAAACCAACAGAAAACCAATGAAGAAGGGTATACCTCAGTGGTAGAATATTTGCTTTACAAGTTCAAGGACCTGGGTTCAACCTCTAACACAGCAATAATACAGAAACAAAACTGAAGAAAACTGCTGGGTAGGGATGTAGCTCAGACTATAGTGTCTGCCCAGTTTACATGGAAGCTCTGGGTTGAATCCTCCAGCAACACACACATACAAATCATTCAAACAAATAAACAATAACATAATGGCCCTGGTGATACACAACTCTAATCCCAGTACTAAAGATTACAGTGCAGTACAATTCATGACCACTCTCAGCTACAGAATGGGTTTGACGCCAATTTGGGCTACATAAGACCTTGTTCCAAAACAAAACTCTACAAGAATGGCTGAAATTTGGATTTTATCTCAGTCATAGAAAACATCATTTTCTTACAGACACTTGATTCTCTACCATCAGGTAAAAGGCCACACTAGCTAATGCTGCTTTATTCTGGTGAAGAGTGAGACAATGGTGTATCTCAAAGGCAATTAGGCAGAATCTTCCAGCCGGGCACACACCTCTGATCCCAGTGCTCAGGACACAGAGACAGGAAGATTTCAGGGTTCAAGGACAGCCACACCTACAGACTGAGTTCCAGGACAGCCAAAGCTACACACAGAGAAACTCCTCAGAAAACTAAACCAAAAATAAAAACCCCAGAATCTTGCAAGTTACCTATGAATTCCCTTCACCAGAGGAATGAGCGCATACATAAAGATAAAAACAATGCCTACTGCATTTAAAGTCTACAAAAAGAATGGTACTGTACCATATACTCTCACTTTTAAATATATTCAATATGTAATTATTTTCAAATTTTATCTGAAATAAGTGCCCGGTACAGTCTGAGTTCTTCTAGTCTCTCGTTTTCCTTTTTTTTTTTTTTTTTTTTTTTTTTTTTTTGAGAATTTCTCTGTGTGGCCTTGCCTGTCCTGGACCTGCTTTGTACACCAGGCTGGCTTCTAATGCATAGAGCCTCTGTCTCCCAGAGTGCTGAGATTACAGGTGTGTGCCACCTCGCAGGGCTTAAGTAATTTATTTTTATTTTATGTTCATTGGTGTTTTGCCCACACTTATGTCTGTGTAAGGTTGTCAGATCCTCTGGAACTGGAATTATAGACAGTTGTGAGCTATCGTATGGGTTCTGGAAATTGAACCCGGGTCTTCTGGAACCCAAGAGGCAGTGGTCTTAACCACTGAGCCATCCCGTCAGCCCCAAGTTTGAGTTCTTATGAGTACACTTCATAATCATAATAAAGATATGTATGCCTTGAAGATTTGGGAGGCACTGTCTTTACAAGCAGACCCTGCCTCAAAATGAAGCTGAAACACTAAAACCTGCTATTTATAAACTGGCACCCATCACTAAATGTACAATTAAAACAATAATCATGTATTATTTTAAAACAAGTTCAAAGTTTGTACTAACCTTCCTTTACAGAGGCAGTCCGCCGCCTTGTTCTCTTTCTCCCTTTGTGATCCTCCTCTAGTATCTTATCATCAAAGCCAGTCAGCTCTATGGTTTCAGACTGACTTGTCGGTCCAGCTGAAAACCATTCTGGTTCTTCCTCAGTGTATGAATCATTCCTTCTACGCTCACCAAAGACACGTTTACTATCTGCAAACTCTCTCTGAAAAAGGACAAAAAGCCAAACTGAAAGACTGCAAAGCTCTAGTGAAAGCACTGTAACCAGTGTTAAGGAATTAATGCTGGAGACTGAAAGCAGATGCTGTGCTGTGAATCTGAAGTATGTACCACTCTTGAACTACACACAGGAGTACATCTGTTTAGTTTAAGAGTGAGCTGTGAGGTGGGCAGTGGTGGCCCACACCTTTAATCCTATCACTTAGGAGGAAGGCAGACCTCTGTGAGTTTAAGGCCAGCCTGGTCTACAAAATGAGCTGCAGGACAGCCAAAGCTACACAGGGAAACCCTGTCTTGAAGAAGAGGAGGAAGAAGAGGAGGAGAGGAGGAAGAGGAAGAAGAAGAAAAAAAGAAAAAGTCTCAAAAACAAAACAAAAATCCAAATTATTCGGGGCTGGAGACATGGCTCAGAGGTTAGTTAAGAGCATTGGCTGCTCTTCCAGAGGTCCTGAGTTTAATTTCCAGCAACCACATGGTGGCTCACAACCATCTAGAATGAGATCTGGTGTCCTCTTCTGGTGCGCAGGCACACATGCAGGCAGAATACTGCATACGTAAATAAATCTTTAAAAAAAAAAAAAAAAAAAAGTGGGCTGTGATCCCTAGCTTTTCAAAGTAACTGGGTGCGTTACGAGGATGCAACTCAGAGCTTTGGCGCTTGCTATCAAGTGTGCGGCTCTGGGTTTGATTCTGTACCAGTATGACAGCAACAACAAAGTAATGCAGTACAAAGGAGGTGAGCATCCAATTTCCAAGGGGAAACTGAAAACCAAGGGGGCCAGAGGACAAACCCTGAAACGCTTGTCCTTGTAGTCCCTCTCTCTGTCTCGGTCTCTCAAGTCACGAAGGTCCTTATCGTTAAGACGATGATCCTTCTCAAAGGCCCGGGCAGAGATTATCCTCCCACTGCCAATCCTTCGTCCACCAAGCAGGCGAAGCCCGTCACTGTCCTTCTCCAAAGGACTCCCCGAGCGCCGGGAGCTGACAGCAGCTGTCACATGGCAGCCACCTCCAAAGCTTCGTCTCTGTGGGCTGAGAACAACATCTAAGTCATCTTCCTTCACACGTTCTCGTGGATCTGAAAAGATTCCAGAAAGACAGAGTAAGCAAACTGACAAATACCATGTTTATGGCTGCAAGGAAGACACAAAATGACAGAAGGAAGACATCAATAAAACTGGGTGTATCAACAGATTCAGGGTAAAAAAAAACTTATTTTGTGTCTATATGCATATACTTTGGCCCATGTGTGGAGGTCAGAAACATTTTTATGGGGATAGCTTCTTTCCTTCCACCACGTGGGTCTGTAAGAACTGAATACAGGTTGTCAGGCTTGGAAGCAAGTGCTTTTACCTATTGAGCCATCTTACTGGGACCCCCCCTTTTTTTTGAGAAAGGGTTTCTGTGTAGCGTTGGCTGTCCTGGACTTGCTTTATAGATCAGGCTTGCCTCACACTCACAGAGATCCACCTACCTCTGCCTCACTGAGTGCTGGGATTACAGGCATTTGAACTGTGGCCGGCTCTCACTGGCTTTTTATAATTATTATTTTTACATTAAATTTTAAAATAGTTGTATATATATTTAAGTTAGTCTTATTTTCTCTTCAGAGAAACAAATGAATTTCATAATAAATGATTTTCTATGATTAATCTATCCTTCTTATGAGTAAGACTTTTTATATAATTTTTAGAAAATCTTTTGCCCCTTAGTAAAACATGTTAGTATTTGAAAAAAAATAAAATGCTTAAAAGGCAACGAACAGTGAACAGATGGATATTCACACCCCAAAGATCTTTTATAGTCAATTTGTATGCCTGTAATCTCTGCACATGGGATGCTGAAGAGAATTATGATGAGTTTAAATCCTAAAGTTGGTTCCTTATTCAACATTTAATTTAAACGAATCTAGATGTGAAACTTAAACTATAAGAGAACACCTTTACTGTTGGTGAGGCAAAGTGTTCAAAGTGTTTTTGAAGCACAGCAATAAGAGTGCTATCCATTATGAAAGCCTAGTAAGTAAGGTTTTCTCTGAGTTTAAAACTGTTCTTTTAAGACACTGTTTAGAAATATAAGACGGGGACCAAACATTTCATAGCACATTTCTCAGAGGAGACCTGAAACCACAGTGTATAAAAGTTCAGAGGGTGGGGTGGGTGAGGATCATTGGGTGTGGTGGTGTAGGCCTGGTCTCCAAAGTCCAGGACAGTCAGGTTTTTGTTGCACAAGAGGAATTCTGTCTCAAACAAACAAACAAACAAACGAGCTGGGTGCAGTGGTGTACACCTTTAGTCCCAGCACTCAGGAGGCAGAAGCAGGTGGATCTCTGTGAGTTCAAGATCCAGCTTGGTCTACAAAGCCAGTCCAGGACAGCTAGGGCTACACAGAGACACCTGGTCTTGAAATGTCTCCTTTACCCATCAAAGGGACTAATAGCTGTAAAGGTTGCTCAGTGGTTAGTTAATGCTGTTCTTCAGAAGTCCCCTAACACCCACATAGCTGCTCATAATTGTCCTAATTCTGTCTGCAATCCACAGAATCCAGTGCATTCAGATGTACATACAAAACACTGTGTACATAAAATCCTTAAAAAAAAAAAAAAAAATTTTTTTTTTTGAGATAGGGTTTCTCTGTATAATCCCTGGTTGTCCTGGAACTCATTCTGTTGACCAACCTGACTTCAATTTAGAGACCTGCTGGACTTTGCCTGCCAAGAGCTGGGGTTAAAGCTGCTCCTTAAAAAAACCAAACCAAACCAAAACAAAACAAAAAAAAACCAAACCAAAACAAAACAACTTTGTTTATTGAGACAGGATTTCTCTGTGTAACAGAGCCCTGGCTGCCCTTTTAGACCAGGCCTCAAACTCACAGAGATACATCTGCCTCTGCCTCCCGAGTGCTGAGACTAAAGGCGAGTTCCTTAAATAATTCTTAGCCAAATTCCACAGCCAGACCACAGGCCAAGCAAGGCGAGTTCTGTGGAAGAGTGGAGGTCAAGGACACCACAAAAAGACCTACATAGTAAACTAACCTGGGCCCAAGGGGGCTCACAGAAACTGAACCACCTAGCGCAGAACCCGAATAGGCTGGACCTAGGCCCCCTACAGACATGTAGCGGAAGTGCAGACTGGAAGTCTACTGCCTGCCACTGGCAGTAGACTGTACATCTTGTGTGTACAGATGCCAGATCCTCAATATTGCATGAGAGTCAGTGGCTAGCGTCCAAAAGGGAACTCATATTTCCAAACTTTTTTGACTAGAAGGAAAAAGTAGGTTTGTTACAATGATCTGACATTTCTGCCTACAGGAACTTCTGGGTCAGCCAGTTCAGAGACCTGCTTCTTCCAATCTTCTCAGTGGCCTTATGGGAAGCTTGGAGCCTACCGCATCTTTATTGAGCCAAGGAGTCTACAGTCTACCTCTGCCACTGGGTCCCTTCCACCTGGCTGGGGTCCTTGTCAGCTCCAGGGGAGGATGCACACTTAGCTGTGCTGCAACTTGTGCCTGGGTGAGTTGATACACCTTGGGGGTCTCCCCTTTGAGAATAAGGGGAGGACGTGTGAGGGCAGGACTGGGGGGGGGATCAGGCTGTAAAGAGATGAAATCAGTAAATGGAAAAATAAAATAAAATAAAATAAAAAAAGACCAGTGAGCTGGGCGTGCTGTAGCATGTCTATTACACGGAGTTTGAGGGTCTCAAATCTCCCACCCTCAAAAATAAAAAAGAGCCTAAAGGGGGTGGAAAGAGGTCTCAGTGGACAGAAGCACTTGTATATAAAATAAAATGAACCTAAAAAGAAATTAAAAGACATAAGCATTTGTCTTCTGACTTCCTTGGATAGACAGCAAGCATGCACAGGATGTACATACACACATGGTAAGAGTACATACATACATGCATGCATATAAAAATAATAAATTAATCAAAACTCCTATATACAGCTGGGCATGGTAGCACACTCCTGTAATCCCAACACTCTGGGAGGCAGAGGCAGGTGAATCTCCGTGAGTTTGAGGCCAGCCTGATCTACAAATTGAGTGCAGGACAGCCAGGGCTCCACAGAGAAACCATGTCTCGAAAAAAAAAAAAAAATTCATATATATATATATACTGATACTTACACATAAATGTTCACAGCAGCTTTGGTTAGTAACAACTCAAGTTACTCTTCACAGATAAATGGAAATGATGATGAATTCATATAATGAAATACTAATAGGCAATAAATGAAATGAACAACATTGATAGCTCCAGGTATGGTTCACTGACCCAGAGGTTATCCTCAAATTTGAGTACAACATGGGATACATAGTAAGTTCCAGTCCAGCTTGGGCTACAGAGTAACCTTGTTTTCAGAAACATATAGTAACAATTTAGTCATGTTCAATTTTAGGGCAGTGAGGAGGAGGGAAAGGAGGCATTAGAACACTAGAGCCCTTATAGGGCACACATGCCAAAACAAAGGTATGTTGTATGTAAAGGTTCTATATGTAAGTTCAATTTCAATACAGGTAAGAAAAACATGTCACAAACAGAAAAACTAGAAACTGAAGTTGAGCCCACATAAGAAAAACTTGTTTGTCTGTGTATTTGTCTGTCTGTCTCTCAACCAGACACAGCTTTTCATCTTAATTATTTTTCAGAGAGTGTCTCACCATGTTGAAGTCACAGAGATTTGACTGCCTGCTTCTGCTTCCTGAGTGTTGGGATTAAAGACATGATCTACTAGCCCTCAACAAACAATTCTTTCTAGAAGGTAAGACAGGCTCTCATGTAGATCAGCCTCTAATTCAGTATGTAGCTGAGGGTGAATTCCAACTTCTGACCCTCCTGCTTTTACCTACTGAGTGTGTGGGTCAAAAGTTTGTACTACTGTGCCCAGTTTACTCAGTGGAAGGAATTGAACCCAGGGTTTCAGGCATGGACAGTAGGCAAGCACTTACCATCTGAGCTACAGCAGGCTGCCTTAGTTTTTTTTTTTTTTTTCTTGGTGCTGTGATAAAGCACTCAACAACTTAAGGAAGAAAATGTTTATTCTGTCTGATTGTTTAAGGATACAGTCCACAAGAGCAACAAAGCCAAGGCTGCAACAGCTTCAAAAAGCTGGCCACATGTGTACACAATCAGGAAGCAGATACGGATGAACACATACTCACTTTCTCCATTTCACATAGTCCAGAATCCCCACAGAGAATAGTGTCTGGGTTTTCCTGGGGCTGGAGAGACGGCTCAGAGGTTAAGAGCACTGTCTGCTCCTCCAGAGGTCCTGAGTTCAATTCCTGGCAACCACATGGTGACTCATAACCATTTATAATGAGATCTGGTGCCCTCTTTTAGAGTGAAGGCATACACGCAGACAGAACACTGATACATAATAAATAAATAAGTCTTAAAAAAAAAAAAAATGGGTTTTCCCATACCAGTTAACCAAATGAAGACAATCCTTCACTCACAGGCATGCACAGAGGCTAATAATTCCTTTAAGTGTCCTGGAGGATTGTCTCCTAGGTGATACCAAATGTACCAAGTGTCAACACTATCATAACAGCAAAGACACTTTATAATTCAAAAGCACATAGCTTAACTTGCCACCGTTAAGAAAACCATCACTGTGATTTTACTCTGCTAACTGTGAGAAATACAAGTGATAAACTAGTTTTCTGATGACATTTCTCTTCAATACATAAACCTCTGGTAACTAAGAATAAAACCCTCACACTTAGGGAGGCAGAGGCAGGCAGATCTCTGTGAGTTCAAGGCCAGCCGGCTCTACAAAGAGAGTCCAGGACAGCTAAGGCTACATAGGGAAATCCTGTCTCAAAACAAAACAAAACAAACAAAAAAACAACAAAAAAGGGAAAACAAACAACACCAGCAGCTAGGAGCATGTTCCCTAAATCAACTACCATTTATTTATAATGACTGTGCACCTACCTGCTATTCTGCGCACCAGGGAAGGTCGGTCTGATTCTGGCTCTTTCTTTAGACTTTCCACTGGTGAGCTCCGCCCTGAAGCTGGGTAGAGAGAGGCATGCCACTTCTCAGGGTCCCAGACACCATCACTACAGGTTAAAGGATAGCATTAGTTAGTGTTTGAAGATTAATTCTAATAGGCCCTAATTTCTAAATTTCTTCAGGTTACATGAAAACATTCATGGTTGCTTCAGAGTGATTACCTTATTCAAGATGAAAAAGAAACATTATTATTTCAGTAATAGTTTGTTGATGATCACATAACCCCAATAGGTACTTGAAAATCAGGAGTCTGTACACAAATGAAACCAGCAGTCTATAAAGCCTGTGCTCTGTATGAACTACAGTATCTGTCCACACAAAGACCTTCCCAAGTTCTGTAGAAACTGTTTTACTCCTTTAGCACAAGTACCTGCTAGAAAGTGTGGTGCACATTTTTCTAGAATTTGTTTGGGTTTGTTGTTATTTTGAGACAGAGTCTCACTATATAGAACTTGCTACATTATGTAGACCAGGCTGGCCCCAGATTTATATAGATCCTCCTGCCCCCAACTCTCCTAAGTACTGAGATTACAGGCATGCACCACCACACTGGGCTGGAATTTCTATGTGTAGTCTCAGTTTTTTCTTAAGTAGGCCAACTCTTAAATCCTCCTTTTTCCCCCCTTTGTTTGTTGGGATTATACCCTTAGTCATGAACTCACTGCTTGAAAAAGCAAGTCAACAGTTATCAAACCCTTTCAATAGAGAGATATCATCTAGATATTATCCTAGGGTCTCCTGCCGGAGCCAACAAATGCTCGCTCTCAAATGAGAAGAAAGGTAAAAGAGGAAGCTCTTTGTCCACTCTTATCTTTAGTACTGTTACTAGGTACAATATCTACTTTAGCATGAAAGCTAATATAGGTGCTCAGGATAACTATTCTATGCAAAGAAAAAAATTTTAATAACAACATTTGAAGTATACAAAGGACATTTATTCATTCATTCATTTATCTATCTATCTATCTATCTATCTATCTATCTATCTATCTATCTATCTATTATGTACACAATGTTCTGCCTGCATGTACACCTGCATGACAGAAGAGGCACCAGATCTAGATTGTTGTGAGCCTCCATATAGTTGCTGGGAATTAAACTCAGGACCTCTAGAAGAACAGCCAGTGCTCTTAACCTCTAATCCATCTCTGCAGCCTAGGACTTTAATTTCAATGAAAAACAAACAAGCCTATCTTGAAAAATCCTAGCAAATCAAAGTAGCCATTATTCTGGTACCATCATCATCAGGAGAATGTGGTATACATCTGAATATGGCACACAACAGGCTTCCTTAAGTCTATATATAGATTTTAAAGTCTGCCTAGACTGAAGACGTAGCGGATGATAAAACACTCATCTAACATGGGTAAGAACTGGGGTTCCATCCCTAGCACTAGGGGTGATGATATGTGGCACTGAACCAATTAAATACGACACGTTATAAGTAGAAACCCACAAGATAGCAGTGGTGGCCAGAACTCAGGTGGGAGAGGCAGGCAGACCTCTGAGTTTTGAGGCTAGCCTCATCTACAGAGTGAGTTCCAGGACAGCCAGGACTGTTACACAGAGAAACCCTGTCTCAAAACAAACAAAAACAAAAAAACAAAAAACAAACAAACAAAGATGGCTAGATAGTTAACTAAGACTGCTAAGCACGGTGGTGCAGGCCTTTTTTTCCCAGCACTTGGAAGGCAAAGGCAAACAGATCTCTGTGAGTTTGAGGCCAGCCTGGTCTACAGAGCGAGTTCCAGGACAGCCAGGGCTATGTAGAAAGCGCTTCTCTCAAAACAAACAAACAAACAAACAAACAAACAAACACACCACAACAAAAAGAAATTATTAAGGTAACCTTAAGAAATATAATACAGAGTTATTGCACATTTTCAGATCATTTTTAGTTAGCTTCTTCAAACCAAAGACTTTAGCCTTTTCTTAAGGAACCTAAGATACAATAAGGCTAATCTGAAGAGCTCTTTGATCAAGGTCTCAGAACCCTTCTTCAGCATCCTCAACACACAGTCTTAAAAAAGTAAAATCACAGCAAGAAGCACAGGGTCTGGGGAAGAGACCCTGACAGAAAGACTCCTGGGTTTAAATCTGCTCTGTGACTGTAACTGGGTCATTCTGTAGTTTAGCTGCAGTGCTGGTTAGTTGACAGCCATTTATTAACTCTTAAAATACCTCCCTCACTCATAGTGCTACCAAAACAACTTTCCAATAATGCAATTCTTTTTTGTTTGAATAAAATTTTATTTACTCATTTTAAATTTACTTTTTGATTTATATGTATGTGTAGTTGTGCATGTATCTGCACACGAGTGCAGTGTCACTATCAGCCAGGGGTGCCAGGTGTCCCTGAAGCTGGAGTTCACGGATGGCTGTGACCCACCTGAAGTGTGCTGAGAACTCAACCTGGGTTTGTTAAAAGAGCAGTACAGGGCTGCAGAGACGGCTCAGAGGGTAAGAGCACTGGCTGCTCTTCCAAAGGTCCTGAGTTCAATTCCCAGCAACCATATGGTGACTCACAACCATCTATAATGAGATCTGGTGCCCTCTTCTGGAGTGCATCTGTACATGCAGGCAGAACACTGTATACATAATAAATAAATCTTAAAAAAAAAAAAAAAAAGCTCAGTACAGATGCTGAGCCACCACTCTAGCCCACAACAATGCAATCCATAACATAACAGTCATACCTGTCATACTTCTCAGAGAGACATGATGGCCTCCGTTTGGAGTAGGGACGTTCTTTTATATCCAAGAGTTCCTCCTAAAAACATAAATCATATGAGAATTTTGAATCACATTTCTCAGGCCACATACTTGCAATTTATTTCCCTTCTGTGTACCTTAAGGAGTTAACACCGGCCTTGAACTAATCCTCCAGCATCTACTTCCTGAGTCCTGGGGTCACAGGTGTGGCTTTCTCATGATTCTTAGAATTTTGGATTTAAAATTCCAAAAAGACTAGAAATGGATCAGTGAACTCATAAGAATTTCAAACAATATTATCAAGCATTGGTGTTTTGCCTGCATGTATGTCTGTGTGAAAGTGTTAGATTCCGGAGCTATAGACAGCTGTGAGCTACTATGTGGGGGCTGGGAATTGAACCTGAGTCCTCTGGAAGAGCAGTCTGTGATATATATATACTGAGCCATCACTCCAGTATATATATATCCCCTTAAGTGTAAAAACTTGCAAGAATAAAAAAGAGCACCCAAATACTTAAGAATTTTTTATTCATGTGTACATGTATGAATGTACATGTATGTGTTGTACAAATACATGTGACTGCATCCTCAGATACCAAAAACAAATTTCAGATCTCTCAGAGCTGGATCACCAGATGTTTATAGTAATAACCAAGCTTGTTATGTGGGTGCTGGGAACCTCTGGTCCTCATGTTCACATAGCAAATGCTCTTAACTGCTGAACCATCCCTCCAGCCCTTATGCATTTATTACACGTATGTCTGTGTGTGTGGCACATATTCATGTATATATTCATGTATACTCATTTATGAGTATACCCATGTTTACAGGTTTACAGGTACATATGGAGGCCAGATGTTGAGTGTATTTTCAATCTTCACTTTTTTCTTTATTATTTATTATATATACAGTATTCTGCCTGAATGTACACCTACATGCCAGAAGAGGGCACCAGGTCTCATTATAGATGGTTATGAGCCACCATATATTTGCTGGGACTCAGGACCTTTGGAAAGAGAGTTAATGCTCTGAGCCATCTCTCCAGCCCCTCTATTTTCACTTTAAAAAAAAAAAAATTGGGCTGTGAGCCAGGCAGGTAGTGGCTTTAATACCAGCACTTGGAAGGCAGAACAGTCAAATCACTGGGAGTTCAAGTTCAGCCTGGTCTACAGAGTGAGTTCTAAGACACCCAGGGCTACAGAGAGACCCTGTCTAAAAAAGTGTATGTTTCTGTGTATAACGTGTTTGTGTATGCAGGTTTTGAGGTAAAAGTAAATGGTATAGAACTGGTTTTCTTCTACCTTGAACATGGTTTCTGAGACTGAACTCAGGTGATTTTGGATGGGGTGTGATCTTGTCAGGAAGCCTGCCCAGCTTTTGATGCTTGGGGGTCTAATTTCTTTTCCTCATATTCCATAGCAAATGCTTTATCTATAGGCTGTCTTTAGAACCTGCATACCTTTACTTAGATTGGCCTGTTAACACCGTCAGCAATCTGCTGCATCCATCCATTCACTGTTTTTTCAAGAGTTTCTCTACGTAGCCCTGGCTGTCCTGGAACTTGCTCTATAGAGCAGGCTGGCCTTGAACTCAGAGATCTGCCTGCATGGGGTTAAAGGCGTACACCTCCACACCAGCATTACTTGCTCTCTTTAAATACAGCATTTTAAAACCACTCAAGAGTAAGCTGTTCAAGTTATGATCCCTTACACATATATTTTAGTGCTCATTTCTGTAAAATGAGACTATTCCTTAGGATTTATTTTACTTTTATTTATGTATAACATGTGTGCGCCTGTGTGTGTCTGAAGAGAACAGAAGAGGGCTCCAGATCTCCTGGATTGTCAGTTGACTGAAGTGGATGCTAAGAACTTGAGAAAGAGCAGCAAATGCTCTTAATCCCTGAACTCTCTTGACAGCCCTAAGAATGAGCATTTCTTTTTTTTTTTAATTTATTTATTATGTATACACTCTTTTGCCTGTATATGTGCCTGACGGCCAGAACAGTGCACCAGATCCTATTATAGATGGTTATGAGCCACATGTGGTTGCTGGGAATTGAACTCAGGACCTCTGGAAGAGCAGATAATGCTCTTAACCTGAGCCATTTCTCCAGCTCCAAGAATGAGCATTTCTTAAAAACAACATTTACCCAATTTCCTAATAATCTGATTTCACAGAAAATAATTTTTGTTCTTTTTCTTTTTTCTTTCTTTTTAAGACAAGGTTTCTCTGTGTAGCCCTGGGTGTCCTAAACTCACTCTGTAGACCAGGCTGGCCTTGAACTCACAAAATCTGCCTGCATCTGCCTCCTGAGTGCTGGGATTAAAGGAAAGCACCACCACTGCGTGGCTCACAGAAAATACTGTACGGACTATTTTTCCATAGGGCCATTTCCCCTTATCTCCCTGTCAGCACTTGGCATTACATTGTAGTTCATGCTCTTCTTCTATTAACTCTATATATTGATATGGACTCAAGAGTCCTAGTTTTCTTAACACTTCCCTGTCAGTTCCCAGGTGGTCCCACTAATCTACCTTTCAAGGTCCTAACAACGAGGCCACCACCAGGTAAGTGTCAGGTGTGTGCTGGATAAAAGGACCCCTGCCTGCCTCCCCATCTCTCTCAGTCTCTTTCTCTCAGTCCTCTGCTCTTAAGGCTCTGTTCCTGTCTGTCTGCCTGTGTACATGTCCAATCATCTGTCTCTACCCCTCCTCCTGAAGGCCCTAGCTCCTCTCCCTTTGCCCTCCCCCAAATAAACTTCCTTATACCAGATACGTTGCACGGCATAATCATTCTTGTAACACACTCACACACCGTTTTTTTTTTTTTTTTTTTGGGAGACTGGGTCTCTATGTAGCCCCAACTGTCCTGGAATTCACTATGTAGACCAAGCTGGCCTGCAACTCACAAAGATCTTACTGTCTCTGCTTCTAGAGTGCTGGAATTAAAGACACGTACCACCACACCCAGCTCAACAGTCCTTAATTCACAAATATCCTTAATTATTTTAGTGCCCAAACAGTCCCAGATTTTGCCAGGGGAAACTTCAAGCAGCTATGTGCCCAACCTTTAGTGAAACAATCACTGCTTTCTGTAGGGTATAGCAGTTACACACTTGCAACACCCAGCACTCATGAGGCCGAGACACGATTATCAGTTTCAGACCAGCCTAGGTTACATAATGGTACTATGTTCCCAAAAGTAGTAAATAAATAAACGGGCAACACTGCCCTTCTGGTTTATCTTGTGCCCATCCTGCCTCACCCTGGAGCCAGCCATTTCTATGATCAACTTGAAGGGTGGAATGGCACTGGAAGTCAAGGCTTAGGAGCTGGGTATACCTCATTTGTTTGTAATTTAAGTCCTTTCACCAGAAACAGTAAGTATGTGCATCTGCATATATAAACTACTAATACATGTAGTGGCTTATATAAATGAATAGCCACAAACTCTATTACCGCTTACTAGCACACAATCATTTATAGACGAAAACAAATTACACCACAATTCATGAACTTTTGTATGATTACAATGATCCAATTGCTTTGTAGAACATAGCAGGTACCACTACCAAGTGACTTCTGTAAAGTACCCTCTCAGCCTTGAAAGACAGTGCATACTGCTTCTTAAATGATGGGCTAAAGCTGGGCAAGGTGTGGCACACCTGTAATCCAGCACTCTGGGAGGCAGAGGCAGATGGATTTCTTTGAGTTCGAGGACAGCCTAGTCTACACACAGAGAAACTCTGTCTCAAAAAACGAAATCAATCAATCTTGGGCTAAAAATGAAGACCAGCTTTGCTCTCCCGACCTACAGTAATCACTGCACACAAGTACAAAGTGTCTTGTAAGATATACAAAGCCTCTAAATGTTTTTAGGACAGCAAATTGCCTTATAACCAGAAGACTGCAGAGTCTTAAAACCAGACTATCTGGTGAGGCGTGACAGCATATACCTGCAGTCCTACCACTCAGGAGGCTGGAGGAACACAGACATCAGCCTGGGTTGATCTGTCGGTGAGATCTGTCTCAAAAACTAAGACTGAAGCCAACCAACCAAATGATAACAACAAACCACACATGGTATCATCACACCTATACCATAGTTTGAATATACTTAGGATCCACTCATAGATTATTGTTTTCTTGTTTTGTTTTTCTAAAGACAGGGCCTGTGTAGCTTTGGCTGTCCTAAAACTCATTATGTAGACCAGGTGGACCTCCAACTCACAGATATCCACCTGCCTCTGGCTATCGAGCCCTGAATTAAAGGTGTGTGCCACCACCTTCCACCAGCAGAAACTCTGAGATCCAGAGCTTATAGCTTTCTGCTTTTAGTAGAAGGGTCTGGAATGTAGCTGAGTAGCAAAGCACTTGCCTAGCATTCATAAACCAAGGTGTTCGATCCCTAGTACAAAACCCCAAAAACCAAAACCTCAAATTTCCAGTAGAAATGGGAAGGAAATTAGAAAATACCAAACTGCAATTTTTCTGCTGCTAGAAGTAATTACTATCCTCCTCTCCAAGGGCAAATACTGAGCTAAGACTCCTAGTTCACAATATAACTCACACTTAAATGCATATACCCCCCCCCCCAAAAAAAAAACACAAGGTAGTGCTTTGTAACATTTATCCCTAGGAGATAAGGAACCTAAGTACAAGTCACTGAGTAACAGTATTTTAGCATATCCACAAACACCTAAGAGAAAAGGAATGTGGTGACGCTTAACTGTGATCCATGCACTAAGGGGCTAGAAAGGAGTGTGAGTTTGGAAACATCTTGGGCCACAAGATTGTGTCTCAATAAACCACTGCCACTACCACCACCAAAAACTCAAAAAGCTCACAAAAACAAAAAACGTGCACCTGCCTCAAACAAGCAACAATAAAAACTCAAATTAACGAAGCTGGAGAGATGGCTCAGCTGTTAAGAGCATTCATTAGCTGTTCTACAGGATTGGGGTTCAATTCCCAACATCCACATGGCAGGTCACAACTGTCTGTAACTCAAAAGTTTGAGTAGATCTGACTCCCTCATCCGGACATACATGTAAGC